TAAATAATATTTAAAGATTCAGTCCGTACCGCGAAGAAAACACCACGCTTCACCATTACAAAGATCGAGTGGTTAACGCTGTTTAAGGAAATAATCGCTGTTTACAGTGAGAATCACACGAAACTCATAGATACAGTGCGTAGGCATGTAAATAATATTTAAAGATTCAGTCCGTACCGCACAGAAAACACTACACTTCACCATTACAAAGATCGACTGGTTAACGCTGTTTAAATACATAATCGCAGTTTACGATGAGAATCATACGGAAACCACAAAAACAAAAAATTACAAAGTTCCTGGTCGTTAGAGCAGATGATACATATATGTAGTTACCATACGTATAAGGAATCTTGGACGAGTAGTTTCGTGAAACTAGGAATAATATTTGACTCACTACCAGACAGTGATTTACGAATCCATTCGGGTTATGCAAATTATTCCCTGGTTCCATCCAACGGAGTGTTTTTTTTTGTTTTTGTTTTTGTTTTTTGTTTTTTTGAGAACGTAAAAAGTCACTCAGCTAGTTAAGAAATCTTTTTCACAATATTACGCCATCTGTCCGCAGCTTTAGCCACATGAAAATCGGTCATGTTAGATTATATTCAGTCCGAGATTTGAAGCGGATACCTCCCGAATACTTTTTTTGAACATAATTAACGGGGAGTTAATTTATTTCAGCCAATTTTCCAGACAATGTGCAGTCCGCCGTTCATCTGTTTACGGCACTGGCTCGAGAAATCGATGAAGACATAAACCGGACTAAAGCCGGCTTACGATAAGATCTTGTGGCGTTGGTAGTGAATCCTCAGGCACGGCATTAATAATAGATCTTTATCGTGCGGTAAAAGGCATCTCACGGAGAAGTGTTGTGTTCTCTTTGAGGTACGGTCTCTTTTCCGCGGTCTGTTTGACAAAGCTCGATCCGACTTGCCGAGGATTTTTAACGATAGGTAACAACGGGTTAAGTTAAGCGTAATTTGTAGTTACCTAGAGTCAGGAGACCGGCGAAACAGAGGAACATGATCTGCCACACTCTGAAACCGGCTGCCACGTTCATCTCTAACCATTCGACATCCTCTGTCCCTGGCTGAGCTGAACTTGCGAGCACGCAGTCCTACAAGAGCGTTTCACAATGCGAGAGGTTAGCGTTCTCCGATTTACAGTCGATGGGTTCATGTTTGTTCAACAACAATTTTATCAACCACGTAGGATCATGCTTCCTTTTGATTCGGGATATCTCGTGTTCAGATCTCGGCCCGGAGACTGTCTTGATCGAGGTTTTCCTCAGTACCTCAGGCAATTTCAGAGATAGTACCATCAATTTGCCTATGGTTGCTTTCTTTGGTATTTTTATCCAATTCACAATTAATTATCCGTCTGTGGTATATAATCTGAGCTATGACAGCGAGGTAGAATTCATCATAAATAAATTTGTAAATACGCAGGTCCCACCAAAATGTAGTTGGTTAATCGATCAAGGAAAGATCAATAAACATTTTAAAAGAAATGTGTCCCGAATCCTCCTGTTTGTGTGACAGCCCTGTTTCGAACCGATTCGGTATCAACCTTCTCTCTCATTTCTAGAAAATTATCACTGAATAAATATCTCATATCAGGGCAATGTACACTTTACGTTGCCGTGAGAATTACGATTTTTTGTGCAGGCTATAAGCAAACATCCTTCCTTTCAGAAAATAAAATTGCTACTGTGCTAACGTTACCAACCTTTTCTGCGTGTGGTGTGCATGTGGAAATACTCATCACGACACGAGTTACACTTTACTCCTTAAAGTATAGACTGCCTGCCTGGCGGGGTGCCAGAGACCCGAGAGAGACCGGAAAATGGACCACACCCTATCGAGCAATCAACTGGCATCCCACGCCCATTCACATGACCTGGCTGATGGATCTAGCTCATTTCACGCTACGTACAACGTTCAGAAGCACGCAGCTAATCTAAATATTATTTTAGAAAATCCAGTCCGTACCGCGAAGAAAACACCACACTTCACCATTACAAAGATCGACTGGTTAACGCTGTTTAAGGAAATAATCGCTGTTTACAGTGAGAATCACACGAAACTCATAGATACAGTGCGTAGGCGTCTAAATAATATTTAAAGATTCAGTCCGTACCGCGAAGAAAACACCACGCTTCACCATTACAAAGATCAACTGGTTAACGCTGTTTAAGGAAATAATCGCTGTTTACAGTGAGAATCACGCGAAACTCATAGATACAGTGCGTAGGCGTCTAAATAATATTTAAAGATTCAGTCCGTACCGCGAAGAAAACACCACACTTCACCATTACAAAGATCGACTGGTTAACGCTGTTTCAGAAAATAAAAGCTGTTTACAGTGAGAATCATACGAAGCCGATACTGTTTAAAACAAAATGCACAGATATTGATTGTTAAAGAAGGTGGTACATATAATTACCACTTGTCTTTAAAGGGTTAATATATGGAAAGGCGTACATCTGCGTAAGATGACTGGGTTCGAATACAGGCAGAAGTGGAGTTCTCTAAAGAGTACGTACCTTGGGGCTCATCCAACTTCTTGCCCAGAATATGCAGTGGGGAGTCGTCTGTTTACCTGGAGGTAAAAACGGACCCAGCGTGATCACGTGTCCTAAAATAGTGCTCAGACACAACGGCCTTACCTTTCCAATTGCTTGCTATTTTAAGATGGCTGTCTTCTGGGTTGTTGCGCCGTGTAGTCTGGTAGAAGTTTACCATCGTTTCACAGGTGCTTACTGCCTCCATCATCAGGGCGATGAATCAATATGCTATCTTCTTTGAGTAGCTGATCAAAATATTCTCAGAATAGCTTCACAGTTGTTCTACAGTAACGTGTTTCACCCCCATAAATGTCTTCAAAACTCAAGCTTTTCCAGAAGCTGGCAGTCTCTCAGCTGGTGAAGAAATTCCATGCTGTGTTCACACGAATCTACCACTGCCCCCTGGCCCACATGAATCCAGTACACAAACTCACAGCCTGCTTCTTCCATTTTAATATCATCCTCCCTTTTTTTGCCCATGTCTCATGGTCTACTCTTTTTTTTTTAGGTTTTCCATTTAAAATTTTGTTTACTTTCTCACAGCCCACATGCATGCTGCATGTTCTGTCTTATCCCAAATTTAATTCCCATACAAATTAACAGGTAAAACTGCGGTTATCCGCATTTTAATTTTTTACATTTTAGACATGAGATAGGAGGTCCAAATTTTAACAAGAAAACCCACATTTGATCTGTTACAAACTTCTTAAAGAATGTAAATTTTACTGCTGACTTTTGTTTCAAAAGACTTGTCACGTTTTCAAAACGTTACTAGTTGTAGCTCTTAGATACAAGCCTTTTTCTTGCATTGATCCCCGATATTTGAATAGAAAAATCATATTTCTTGTAGGATTTGAGGTTTTCACAGCAGTGACTCTGAATATGGCTGTCTTCTGGGTTGCTGTGCCATCGCCCTGATGATGGAGGCAGCAAGGACCTCTGAAACGTCGGTAAACTTCTACCAGACTACACGGAGCAACAACCCAGAAGACAGCCATCTTCGCCAATTTCTTGTTTCTCCTCTTTGTTACATGCCCTGTCCATATCAGACCCACTTTTTTTTTTTTTTTTTGGGGGGGGGGTCACAGTCGGAAAGAGCCAAGGCATTTCTTTTATAAATGAAGATGCTATTCAGAAAATGGCTGGAGCTTAGGCAACTTTCCTCTCATCTGGGTCACATTGGTTTAGGATGCAAATTCTTCAACACTGGTATTATAATTATTAATACGTTGACTCCTTGTATATCGTCTCAAGTGGTCATTTGGCAAAGAGAAATTTCGTCTTTCCCAGTGCTGAGAATAGAGCCAGAAAGCTTAATTTTCACTAGAGGATAACATATCCGTGTTCCGACATTTAATAAAAATTCATTTATCTCACAAGCATAATGCATATCTTCAGGGCTAATGAAGTTCAGCCCTGAAGATGGAGACAGTACGCTTCTCCGAAATGCTGGCATCTACCGACAGTCCGCATGGCACCAGAGCCCAAAATAATCGAGATCGTCACTGCCGTGAAAAATTTAATATTTCACACATAAGTTCAGGTTGTTTGTTGTGTCAAATTTCATAGGCTAGTCACTTGTAATGACATTAAATTTATGAGCAACCTGTACTTTTGCTTCGTTGTAATGGTCTGATGCGTCATAACACGATTACGAAACAATACGGAAACACTGAGGGAGACAATCTTCTGTATTACCAAATTAGAAGTTACATACACAACAAAAAATATAGTAAATTATCAATATTTTAATAAATGTAGTAGTATAATTATTATAAAACATAAATTATAGAACTTTAATTAATCATTACACAGAATGTACTGAAGTGACGAAGATAAACTAAACCATTAACATCTGAAGTCAGGGGCAGGATGCAAACAGACGTAACAATATAACAAGCTATGGTAACCAAGCAATTACAACATTATGTAAAATCTCTTTCTCGAGGGATACGAGTTCTAAATGAAAAAAGCTACGTTTCAGTAAACTGTCCCTGACGCTAGTCACCGTCTCTCTACGTTTTATTTGGCTAATAACTGCATTACTTAATTTCTGATAAAGAAATCTGTGTTAAGTATGTAATTGACACCAGAATGTCATTGTCACTTTCACGTTTCAACTAGGGCATCATTAATTTACAGGGCAGGAAAATAAAATTAGGTTCAACTTTGAAAAATAAATGCTTTCTCATACTCCATTTTAAAATTCTGCTACAACCCCAAGTGAAGCACTGTGGCACTGACACAAGTTTAAGACGCGCGCGTCATGCCGTGCCAGACTGTTCGATGTAGGGTCATGCATCAGGCATACCACACACCATTGCTAATCTATGCACATTTATACTGCACATGCCATCAGTCCTCAGTCTCTGAACTGCTCATATTCAAGTACGAGGGCAGTGAGACACGGGCTCACCAAATCCACGTCAATCACTCGCTGACCTTGTCATCAGAATTCACAAAGCTATCAATTAAGACTGCGTTTTAATGGGTTTTAAATACAATGTTCTGCCTGAGATAGTGGTACTCCATTTGCAGTCCACTACAGTAACAAAGAATTTTACATGGATTATTATTATTGCATCTTCATTAATATGATTTTATAGGTATAATAAATCACAGGGAAATTAATTACATATTCACAAGATTAAAAAAAGTATTCAACAATTAATACCGGCTCTGATCCCTATTATTTTCACTGCACATAATCCATCATCATTCTTGGGAGAAAGCACTGAGCTTCAAGGTAGCGTTAGGCTTCAAGTCAGAACTCCTATGAGCAACGAGAATTGTGGAGTTGTACGAAATTGGTGTAAAGCCATCTCAGACTTGGAGTGTCCATTACTCTAGTTCTAAAATATTACACGCAAGCTTCGAGGGATAAAGTGGTACATAAATAAAGAGAAATATTTGTTCTCAAAATCAGAGCTCCACAAAGTTAATTATCAAAATGAAGATACACAATATAATGCATTCACCGCGATGATTAAATGGTTTCTAAAGAGATTTAACATTTAATGGGATACACCCTACATATATGTTACCACACATACATTAAAATGCTATGGCAGCTCCTTTAGAGATGGAAATAGCTTCAGGAGGAACAAATTCCGAACCACAGTAGGCCTGTTTATAAGTGGAGCAAGCTAGGTATCCCAAAAATGAAACTGGACGGAGTAATCTTTCCATGGTGATCCTATTTAATGTGACTTCACGACAGCTAACAGCAGCTACGCGGTATGAACAATGTTCTTTTTTTGAAAATTGACCGAAGGCAGAAGGCATATGAAAGGAAACTGACAGTATTACGTTGAGGACAATTTTGTAGTCCCACTTACATTTCATTGTAATAATTCAAAATTAAATGCAATGCTACACATATCCCACTTCACTTTCTGTAAGAACATCTGATGAAAGCGCAGAACACGACAAACAATAAAATATCAGTTACTAAAACATTACGAAAACGATACCCAAATCCCAGAAGAAATCATCATACCACAGAGGTAAATGCCAGTTACTGAACCTCATCTACTGTCAAATTAATTTATACCACCCCACAGAGCACAACTCTCATTTGTACATCGCGGAACAAATTTACTTCGCTAAAACAGTTAAAATGAACGAATGGAACACTCCAACCCTAAGATAACGTGCATTGTCAATCTTTGAACTCTGCGACACAGAAAATGAAAACCACTGATCTGTCACAGCGACTTATAGCCACATTAGAAGTGTGCTATCACAATCTGATTCCAGAATTCTTGAAATTGTAGCCTTCTGGTCATGACAGGCGCTTAGCACCAGATAAATTGCATTCTCCCCCCCATGAATGTGAAACCACACAGTGAGCATGTAGGATAGAATCAAAAGCCCCCTCCACAGCGCAGAAATCGTGCACAGGCCAGCTGGAAGATTCCTCTTCACAAACAGAGAGCGGCATGATGCACCTCTTTGTACAGACTATGCTTCATGAGGAATCATTCTTTCCTTATGAAGGACCGACCACTGAAAAATGAAAGCAAGCAAATGAAAAATATGGCTGAAGTTGCAGAAACATGGTGTTTGAGTAACTCTGTGATACAGAATCCATCTTAACAGTTCTTAATTTTTTTCTTTCAGCCTATTATTATAAAACTTAGTTAATTCTGGTTGTGAAGAAAATGCATACATCAGATTTTATACATCGGTAACTGACGGACCACCGTACTTTAATAGGCCACGTGTTTTTATATATTTTTATGCTAGATCACGCATAAATAGGACTTTTTGTGCTTCTGTAGCACATGTCATAAGTTCTCGCACTACCTGCAGTGACATTTATGTACTGTGATTGTGAAGAAGTTAATTTTCACAAAGTGATCCCAAGATAATATGGGATAATAATCATTATAATTATATGCAGAACATTTTGTGCAGTATGATTAAATACTTTGTGTCGAAACAAATGCAGGTAATTTAATTTTCGCAGGTATATTTGAAACATAAGATTCAGAAATATGATTTTTATATCATATTTTGAGAATAAAATATGGATATGAAGCCAAACTAAAACCTATGTTTAGTTAAGGGAAATAACAACGTTTACTAACGTTATGGTTTTCTTTTCTACATTTTTGGGTTCCGGCCTCGCTCTGTTTAGCACCTTCAGGAAGTCTGATGTCTTGGCTCTCATACGAGAGTGGATGTACGCTTTGGAGCACTTAATATGGTAATGGAGATAGTCCCTAAAGATGTGGATCAAGTTTATGGTGTTATCCCGCGTTGTCCTGTTTGTGTGCCGTGGAAATAAAACTGTAAAACATACCAAATCAGTACAACAATAGTTGTAACATCAACAGTTTGGTCATGAAGCATTGTCTGCTGTCAAATAAGTGCACACATAACGAAAAGAAAAAAAATGAACACCAGATGTGTGGGCTTACCAACAGAAGAAATAACAATGCATTGGAAGGCTAATCAATACTTTTCTCAAAAATTACATCCAACATTTTCACAGGCCAAAAATAGTTCCTGAACTGAACAATGCAGTCCAACACAATAATTTCATTGAATCCGGCACTTTGATACTTGACTGGATTTTAATTTAAACTCAAACTTCATTATTTGTCAAGATGCCTACAAGATCAGAATAACTTACCAAAAGTTATGTAACCAATGTTCTCTCCCACCCTAGCATCAGTATTCTGCAGTTCAAGCGGTGGTTCCCGATGACTGAAGAGAACCTGTGGTGCCGTGTGGCTCGCTCGTCTCCCCTCTTTGAACTCCTGCATGAACACCTTGCCGATCACTATGTCATCTTCATCCTTGAAGATAGTACTGAACACAACTGTTACGCGATCGGCTTTAGCCTCGACATACCTGTAATAGCCATTATGTACTTACAACTTAACCAGATATACTTGCCTCCTAATATGGCTGTAATCAAAAAAATGCATCAAAACAAGTAACTTTCACAGTTACTACAAGAAACTACCAACTCCCCTCCTATCAAACTCAGTGGTATCCAGTGATGCCAACAGAGTAAAAATGAAGCTGTGATTTTTATTTCCCCATAAGTAATTCTCATTCCTGGCGTGGTTATATTAGCATTTGATTAGTTTTTCATTATCTGGTATTATTATGGTTATATTAGCGTTAGATTAGTTTTTCATTATCTGGTATTATTACTTCTTCAAGAATTTCTTATGTTTCTGCCTTTGTGGTATATGTTATGTGTCATGGCCAGAACCGTAAACCCAGTGTAATAATGGTTAGTCTTAACTTATCTACCTGATTAATGTCTGCAATCACTCAAGCCAAGGTGGTTTTCTTAAGGATGTACTTACATAGTTTCATCATTTCTGTAGTTAATAACAGCTCGCTTGTGACCCTCTTCACCTCTCTCTTGGAAATCAAAATATTTCTCAAAGACTGATGCAAAACAATTCCTCTTTAATAAGCCAATCTTCTTTACAACTTCTTCCCAGTTTTGAGGAACATTTTCTAAATCAATTAACACTGAAACATTGTAACCTGAAAAATTGCAGTATTAAGCATGACAGTGCACTTAAGCTTTAGTGAGACCTACATGGAAAAGTTGAAGCCTGACGTAAGAATCAGTGATATTAAAGAAGTAACTGAAATTATAGTACCAATAGTACATTATACACAAAAGCCATTAATATATGAAAAACATTAAACATTCCAAAATGAAAAACAATTACCATCTTCCACTTGTGTCAGAAAGGAACCATATTCTTTCTTTAATAATTCATCTGCTCCATGTTCCTGAAGTTCTTTGTAGAACTTCAGAGAAATACTGATCTGAAAATTAAATGTTACACAGTAAAATTGACTCTTGCAAAGTATAAAGCAGCTAAGTAACAATGAGAAATTATCTGTGCATGTATAACCACTGAGACTAGTGTCATTAAAATGGCTCAACAGAACATGTAGAGAGGTTATAAAGCTGTTACAAAAGTATCTAATTTTACATTTAATAATCTAAGGCAATATATTATGAAAATGAGGTACATACTCTCACTTTTGTTTTGTCACCTCCAACATTTGATATATGGAAGAGAACTCCATCAAAGTCGGCAATGATAATGTCTATTGACTCAGGTTTATGACTGTAACATAAGCAACAATACATATCACACTCATTTCACTGATAAAAAATGACAAAAACCGTTTCCGGAAGTTCTTAACCTAAAAAATAAGGTCAAACTGCTCCTAACTCTGATAAGCTGAAACAGAAATTTCCCTCCAACTCCTGGTGAATTCCTAAAACACTTTTATGCTTAGAACATAACTACACACATATCCACAAATATTGTGCTTTATAACTACAACTACTGATCGCTGCAACTTCGTTTCTAAGCTTTTCTGTAACATTAAATAAGCGCACTCCACCCTTGCCGGTATCCACTAGCTGTCGCGTTATGCTGCAGATTTCACTTCACACATACATACCCCGCTAAAGCATTCTTGAATTTTAAAGTCAATGTTTCTTCCACTATCCTGTTGTTTATCTCGAGTAAAATCATTGTTTCTTCGATAAGTAAATGATAGTTTCATAAAACCATGAATACTATGACTAATACTAATGTCTCCCTGTTGGGTGGATGCAACCGGAAGCTCTGATTCTAACATGGAGTTGTGACGAAACTTCCTAATTGGTAGGTTATGACACACGTGACAGGATATAAACAAATGAAACATTTTAACAAAAGCATAACTATGAGCGGTACAGAGCAACCAAATGGTAAATTATGTGGTTTGTGAATCATTGGAATGTACAATGAAATTTCATTTATTATGTAGGCATAGATAACGACAGCAAGAAGAAACGTCGACCATGCTTCGCTTATTAATACTGAAGAGATTATATCAGTTCAATTCTAAAGTTGTGACACCTCCTTATAGTATCGAGCCAACCAAACAAACGTGCTCCGTTTGTTCACATAATTTCTCATTAACACCTCGAAACGGTAAGCGTAGCTCATGAAAATAACGGAACAAATATGAATCTACCTAAAAATTGGTCTGCAGAACAGTTTTTGTGGAATTATTGTATATCCAGATTTATGATGTTTGAATCTTCCAAGTGCAAAGTGAATCTACATTTATAGGCGGCATGATATATATATTCTTTCCAGTATCACCTCTCTAAAACTTCGAAACTTTATCTCCTTCTCTGGCAGTTGTCAGCAAATTGACTTGTTTTTATGCTTAGTGTTACATTTCTGTGGGTGTGTACAGTCAATTTTGCAGTGCAGCCAAAACCCAAGGGACACCATATAGTAACAAATCAGTACATGCTACTGAATAATTCTGTTTCTTGTAGATGGTGTGCCAACGGTTTGGAAGAACATACAGCCTCCTTCATCAGGGCAAAAGTAATATACAGTGCAATCCAGAAGACCATTAACTGTACTTAAATCATCAGGAATGTCTTAAATCACACACAGCTCTGTTTTTTACTTATAATTTTATGTTTCCAGATACCCATTGTGTGCAGAATAAGGTATCAGTCCGGTTTCAGTCCACTAGTGTACACACTGCAATTCAGAATAGCGCTAAAATTAAGAAGAAAAAGGCTCGGAGACTTAAGAAAAAATATGCAGAACTAGTGGAAGGTAAGAGAATAATGCATGGCATTCTAATTTAAGCTCTTATCCATCATTACCAGAATAATAAATATATTATAACTTAAAGACTATTAAATACAGCTGCTACATAACTCTGACATTAACATATATTTGTTCATATTAATTGCAGTTACCGATACCTCTTCAAATCAAACCAAGGCATCTGTCAGCAAGCTGAAACCAAAACATTTGTCTCTATTGATAAAACAGCCAGATATCAACTTGGGGCAGTTGTATAATCTGAAGAATATGAAAGTACAACCAGTAGTGTCACTAAAAAATAGCGCTAGCCATCAAAAGCAAGAATCTATGCCTGTTGTTGTGTCAGAATCGATTTCTGATGAGAAAACTTACTCACTCACAGAATTGAACTGTGGCAGTTATGGAGAAATTTCTGAAATGGAAAATCTTGATGTATCAAATTGTAAAGATGAATTACTGTATAGTTTTGATAGATCTATGGATGATGTGGAATTAAAATCTAAGCCCATGGATGATCTAGATGCTGCAGTCTTGGAACATAATTATTTGTTAGGTGATCTTGCATATCATAGTCAGGAAATGGAAGAACTTGATGATCCTGTAGATGAGACTGTGCTAGCGGAAGTGCAATATGATGAGCCTGCAGTTGAGACAATGGTTGTTCCAGTACCAGAAGAAGCTCAGTCAAAGACGTATGTATGAATATGTCTGAATAGGTCATTTATAGGGCTGTAGTCTTAAAAATAGGGCCTTTCTTATTATTGCTTAATTAAAACTTTGCCCCTTGTATATAGACTTAAATGATTAACAACCCACGGAGAAACAAATAGTATAAGTTAGGAAATTTTAATACTATAACAAACAGATTTATAAGCTTTTCAAGGGGTTTACTCTGTCCATTATACCTTTTTTGTGTATCCCAAGGATATTTTATGAATGTTGAATGAAAGAAAGGACAACCATGAATTATATGCAGAGACATTTAATCACTGTATGGTTTAATAATCTCAAAATTACATTGGTTTTTAACAATTTTTAAACTCTTCAGAGCCAAAGTTAAGTATTACATTTGGATCAAGGCCCTGCTTATCCATAGTCACTTATAAATTTATGTCTTTGTGTAACAGCAGTATGAAGAAATTCAAAGGCTCAGCAGCGAACAAAACTCACTCGAAACATAGTATAAGAGACCAAATGGCTAAAATGAAACAGAGTGATCTAGAAAAGGCTGCAAAAGAAGAGTGCTTGTTTCGTAATCTATATGCATACTTGGAAGCCTGTGTAAGTTACATTTTCATTAATAGAATATTCCTGGACAATCAGTGGCATTAATTTAGATTATAAATCCATTGTTTTAGAGGCCTCTGTCTCTGGCAGCAGGAAATATAACATTATTTACAACTGACATAGCTGATCACAAAGGACCTTCCCGCTTTTAGTCACCATGGAATCTTAAGTCTTTTATTTCTGCTTTTAAAGAAATTAAAAGTGTATGACTATCCATGCTTTGAGTTCCATTAGGTATTATTTACACTCAGATGTGCAAACTTTTTTTTATCAATTATCAAAACCATTTCGCTGTGTTGAAAATATACTTGTGCAGATGATATAAAACATTCAGATGATTAAAGATTGAAGGTTTGCTCAATTCTTAAGTCTTCTGTATATTTATCAAGCTGATAACCATTTTGGTTATCTACTTATTCTTTTTTGTTGTAGGTGAGCTGTGGGTTACTTAACAGAGCTCTGTTTTCGTTGTTGTTTTATCATTCACGGAGCAAACATTCCAAATATACTTCTCCAGCAAATGAAACCAAACTCTTCAATATTCTTCTTCATGGTTTTGCAAGGAAGGTAAGGGCCTTGGTGACCGTCACAGCTGCAACTGTGACAACAAAGTGGACTGCTAGTAGTACTACTTTACTAAAATTTATCAATGCTATTATAATATGTGAAGAAACATGTATGAATAATTTTTTTTGTTTTGCATTGAGGAACATGTTTGATGTGTCTTTTCTTCTTACAGGGAAATCTGAATAAGGTTAGGGAAATTCATCAAATTTTACAAAAGGACAAGATACCATTGTCAGCACAGTCATATGCCGCATTTTTTGAGTGCGTGGGACGTCTTCCTGCAGATAATGCCTCCAGCTACCAAGTACTTTCAGAATTTGTGAAAGAAATGACACACAAGGTGATACAGGATCTATTAATATATGCGCTATTAATGGCTGAATTTAGGGTTCTCTAAACCGTTGTCATTCTGGAATGTGAGATTTAAATACCTGTACTGTGCACTTGTTAACGCCATAATATGTAAAAAGAAGTAAAACGAACTTTGTTTACTTGTTACAGGGATTGACATTCAAGGATATTATACAGAAGAGCGTGTTTGTGTCTGACCAGAGGGAGGTAGTTGTGGACGTAATTCGAAGAATTGAGCCCAATTTTGAACCTTACAATATATCACCAGATATATGTTACTCTTGTAATCTTCTGCATGAATTAAATAATCAGAATGAAAATGGAAAAGTGAGTTATATTTAAATAACACATGTCTGTCTTTTATATGTGGCATGAAAAGAAATGGTTAATGTCTTACCTGTGTTTCTATGCACCACAGTATATACGTGAATAAATTAGAGGTTCAGACAGTCATAGACTCCTGACACTAGACCCCACAAGAAAATCTGCTAAAAACATAGGAGGCTGTGAGGATTTTAAATGGATGGAGTTTGTTATCTGGAAGATTTCTATGTAAGATTGGTTATGTTTTTGTTTAGGGTAAAGCTTACAAGTCACCTGCAGAAGGTCTTCTTACGGCATCAGAATTGCGACAGTTAGTTAAGGAGCAACTTCAGATTGAGCTAAATAGCTACGTTCAAGTGAAAACAATTGAGAAGCGAAGTGAACCAGTTGATACCATCTTGTATTATGTAAGTGTTAAGAGATTTTTTTTTTAATTCAATACAGCTGAATATTGTATCAGGTGGAGCCCCAGCTGAGGTTTCATCTTGTATTATGTAAGTGTTACGAGATTTTTTTTTTAATTCAATCCAACTGAATACTGTATCAGGTGGAGCCCCAGCTGAGGTTGAGGTTGTGATAATGTGGTGGGTCATGTCGGTTTCTTACTGTGATTTGGTATGGTATGTTAATGTACTGGATGAAAACATAATTTCAGCCCATATTTAACATTTCGAATGAGAATTATTGCCTGTAATGAAACATTATTTACGTTTACTTATTAGACAGACGATCATTAGCAGCTGTAATAATTGTGTGACACATAAAATCTTTCTTTTTTTTTGGTGTGGTTAGTAGGCAATCATAACTGGTCTTTTTATTGGTGATTTACTGTAAGCTATGTCCGCTGCTGTTGTATTGATATGGTGATAAGTAATGGAATATTGATTAACAGATTTATAAGATGTTATGATATATAAGTAGTTTCATATTTTAAGAGAATCGGTATGTTTGCTAGTCATAAATAAATAAAGCATGATTATGATTGGTGATGTGGGAGGTATTTGAGAGGAGACAGTAAAGGGACTCTGGGAAACCTCAGTGAAGATAGCCATTGGTCCAGTCAAGAATATGAGTCAGCCACGTTATCAAAGATCCAACATGTTTGGTGGTCCTCATAATGAAAGATACTTTGTTTCATCTTTTCAGAGAAAAAAATTGCAAGAGGCACAGGAGAATTGGAGGAAGACAATTAGTGATGCATACCACAGAGATTTGAGAGCTTTACGTGTTCAACATCATTACCGAGCATTTCGTCATATCAACTTATATCCATATCTCAAAGTATTAGACCCAGAAGATTACATTGAGATCATACTTCAGGTATATATATGAAATATCGATGGTTAGTGACGATAAAGGTACGCAGTCACATCAGTGAAGAGGAGAGAGATTATTTTGTGCTATTTTGCAGACTATTAAATCTCCTGCCTTACATATTATGGAAGGACTAGAACTTACTATTCATTTCTCTTTCATTTGAAGTGCCAAGACCTGTAAAACATTCTTGGGCTTGCCAAGTCGAATTATCATCACTGCAATCAGCTCCTTAATCCTTATTTCAATATTATCTGCTGTCTTAGTCGTTGAAGTAGATGATTCTATATGTATGTTTTTCCAGGTGTAAGATATGTTTTTCTTTCAGGAAATACGTAAGTTGGCTGAAGGCTCCGAAACATTCAGTCCTACAACCGGTCAGCTGTATCGAGAATTAGGGAGTCAGGTTCGAGCAAGGTACAATATATGTTTCCACACATGCCTGTGCGTAAAATGTTTAGTTTCAATTCTTGTAGGTATGTGTCACTGCTCACATGTACGCGGTATCTTAAATGGTGTGCCATTAATGACATTTTCTGATTTGAAAGGCTGAAAAAATGCTTCTCTTAGAAGCTACAAATGATAGCGTGTTGATCGATGTGCATATCTCACCTCCAGAACTACAGAACATCTTCTTTCATGAAATTTTGTGTTCTGATGTTTACACTGAACTTTGTGTGCGAGTTTCACAGTGGTCCTTGAGAGTACATAAAACCCATAGTTTGTACTGCCAACGCAGTAGCTAAGGTTACAGAATGTTGATGTTGATCTTCCGGGTCGTAATGCCGTAAGTAGGTAGATATGAATGTTTTGAAGGAGCATGGTGCCTCTTTCTTTAGGGCTGAAGTGAGTTGTAAGTGAGTAATTTTATAGCCAGTCCATGTAATGTGTTTCAGGTATGAAGTGAAGTTCAAAAGTAATTCTGGAATCTCGAAGAAAGTTCAACATTTGTATGAAGAATACTGTGATTGGTACTTAGCCCCTGATAGTAGTTCAAAACAGAGCATGAACACGCGGCAGAAATGGCAGCACTTGGAACACGAAAATTCGAAGGGACCAAGTCTGGTAAGTTTATAAAAATCATATAAAATGAAAGATTGGATGTCACTGTTTCCTTTAGATGTGAAATTCATTCTTTATATTTGTGGGAGTTGAAAGAACAAGGAATTATTAATCAGTAAGTAGTAAGTGATTATATATTTTGTGTGATGTAACTGTTATAATGACTACTCTTCATCTGATATTATTGAAATTCATGATACAGTGACAAGTTATGTTATTCAGAAGCCAATTGATATTATTGAAATATTTCATGATAAAGTGACAAGTTATGTTATTCAGAAGCCATGAATAGAATACTGAATAATAAATTTATCTCAGTTGCTGTTACACTAATCTTCTCTTATACAATCCAGAATATGGAAGAAAAGTCGTGGCCAGCTGCTGTCCTGAGCGGTGTTGGGAAGTTCATGTACAGTATTATCATGCAGGACATTAAAATTGATGTCAACATTGCCAAAAGTAACAGCAAGACGGAGTAAGTATTGCAGGATTTATAGTACACACATTTTGACCACTATTTCCTTTGGCTTCAGAACTTTTTGTGAATTGGAGCATTGACGAAAGACTCTCGGTTACAAGCTGCGTCAGGTGGCTGAATGGTGAATAAGCCATATCTTCTGCTAACGTTTCGAGAGCAGTGCCTGCTCTCATTCTCAGGGCTGTTACGTAACAAATCTGGTTTTTTGTGGCGTGCTCGCCAATGGGAATATTTAGTGATCATACTGTATAGTTATATCATCGAAGGCCAGGTTGAAGGAAAGCGAGGACTGGTAAGAAGACTGATACAGCTAACCGACGATCTGAAACAAGGAAAGAAGATGAAGTTCCAGGAATTAAAGCGAGAAGCCGAGAATAGGGAAAACTGGAGAGCTCTTTTGGGGCAGAGCAATGGACCTGTCGTAAGACAGAACACTGAATAATAATAAACTGTATAGTTGTAGAAAATTTGAACAAGATCTGATAACAAGTGGCCAGACTTGTGCAGATAGGCCATAACATTCATGCCCAAGCGTTAATGTGTCATCTTGTAACAAAAAATTAGTTATTTTCAAAGTGATTTCTGTAAAATATTGTTTTGGACATTTACGTTTTCTTGACTTGACAGAAGGATCTACAGAGCTCTTTCACTTACGTGTAATGAACTTTCAGGCATCTTGTACCTGCTTTCTACGCGTTATTCAGAAATCAGGGGCGACTCTTGAAGGAGGAGGTTAAACCGCATCCTGTTCTTGCACGCTTGTTCCGATGCGCTGCTCAAGAATATTTAGTGTTTGAGGTAGCTACTGTGCCTATGTTGTGCCCTCCTCTACCATGGTCGTCCATTACTAGTGGTGGCTACTTGACAGTGAAGGCGGATCTTATAAGGTGAGTAATTTTGGTGTCTTGCTTCTAACCTCCTACACTTGTAATTTTTCAGTCTCTGTTCAACAGATAAAATCATATAGTGCATGTCTGCCATCTTTTTATGTGTTGTTGGCATCTGGTAAACTGAATTGGTGTTTTCGTTCCAGCTCTTGTGCATGTGACCTTACAGAAATACTGTAATCGTTATAGCACAGATGGCTGATTTACGTCATTAATGGTTACAGACTTCCTCAGCAAGCAGCACAGCAGTGGCATATCTTGAAGAAGACTCCTGTTCAGCAGTTATACCCGAGTCTTGATTCCTTGAACCAGCTTGGGTCTGTGCCGTGGATGGTCAATGAATCGGTATGTCTAGCATATAAATATTTAAGACACATTATGCAAAGAATCTCTGCATTTTGGAGTAAGTATAAGTGTATCTTCTGTGTAAAATTATATTTAGATATCAGAATTTGAATTGAAAGGAGGTGAAAACATAGAAACTGTGTTCCACATATTGCAGTTGTATCAAGATATTAACATTGTCTGCTGTCCTAAGAGACACACTCAAGTGTACATGATATTGTATTTTAATATGTTTAGATTAGCTCATACTGAATGGTATTGTAACCATTCAATTTATATTGAGGGAATTATAACATGAATTTAATTCTAAGGTGAAAAATATTTTTTGTGAATGTGAGATTTCAGGTTTTCGCAGTAGCAAGCGTGAATATGACAATCTTCTAAGACATTATGCTGTGTAATCTCATAGAACTCATCACTGCGTGGTGAAACATTTCAGAAGACAGTCATCATCTGAATTCTGTGTGTATGTACGTGACCTGGATTGAGAAGCAACCTTCTTGTCATATGTCTTTTGCTCTTTACTAAGGTTCTGGATGTGGTGATTGAAGTGTTCAATAGTGGCGGTTCTCAGCGACTTGATATACCAGAACCGCCATCTTCCTGTCCTGTTCCTAGTCCACTTACTCCAGAGATGACAAAAGTAGAGAGATACCAAGCCTACCGACAGAGAATGGCTCTGAGAAGACGCAAAGCAGAGATGTATAGTTTATGGTGTGATGCCCTCTACAGGTTGTCATTGGCAAATCATGTAAGTGTCATTCTGTATATTGAATTCCATACCATTTTACACATGTTCATATGATTTAAAAGAACCATCGAATGATGTAATGTGGTAATGATTTTTAATTGCAGAGTGGGGATTGTTTCTGATCCTCGTTTCCTTTGTTACAGTTCAGGAAACGCATCTTCTGGCTTCCACATAATATGGATTTTCGAGGACGAGTGTACCCATGTCCGCCTCATTTGAACCATTTGGGTTCTGACATGGCAAGATCACTTCTTTGTTTTGCTAAAGGAGAACCATTGGGACCAAAAGGCTTAAATTGGCTTAAGGTCAGTTGGTACTTTCGGAGGTCACATGCATCTGTAGCATATACAGTGTGTTCATGGAAGAGCTGTTTCAGATGTTTAATTTCATCAATATTGTTATGTAATTACAATAGTTTTATGTGCTTGGTCACATAACATAGGCATTATGTCTACCATATGTATATTTATCACATCTAGTTTCTGAAACATGGTGTTCTTTTTGGAATACCAGAATAACAGATATTGTTCAGAAGTAGTTGGGTCTAAAATTTCAAATTGTGGTTTGTAATTCTATCTGAAACATCACGGATTTGTTAGTGCACTTTTTTCCATCTAGATCCATTTGGTCAATCTGACTGGATTAAAGAAACGAGACACAGTGGATGAGAGGCTGCGGTTTGCAGAGGAAATGTTGCCTGAAATTATGGACTCTGCTGAAAAACCTCTAACTGTAAGTTGGATCATAAACAAATAGCGTAAGTACTTCTCATGTGGAATTCATATGTACCTGTCCATGTTTCAATATCAGTCCTGCTAATGGAAAATGGATTTTTTTTTATATTTTGTAGTGATAAATGATCAAAATTAGAGTGAGAAATAATATTTAGATAAACTCAGTAAATTGAGGCTCCTGTTTTACTTGAAGGATAAGGAGATTGTAATTAAGTTTCTTACAAAATACTTTATTTAGCTGATCTGTGATGAATTTAATGAATATCGACTTTTACACATACATCACAGGTAGTAAGAATGTAAAATAATTTTTTTTATTCAATGTTGGCATGTATTTATTTGCATCCAAATTGAAGAACAAAATTAACAAAACATTGTAGTGGAGTAAGAAAATTATTATTTGTATTGAAGATGATTATCTTCTGGGATGATGTGCTGTGCAGTCTAATAGAATTCACTGACGCTTCAGAGATGCTTGCTAGCTCCATCATCGGGGCAATGCACCAAGCAAGCGCCTCTGGAATGTTGGTAAACTTCTACCAAACTACATGGCACAACATCCCAGAAGGTAGTCATCTTTATACTTTCTGCCATGAGAACCTGAAATCGCACCTATTTTTTATATTTATTATACTGAAATTCCTTTAATTAATGTTAGAGGAAGGAATGCTATACTCGTGAATCATACTTTGTAAAATGTCAGGGTTGTATGTGGTGGGCTGAGTCAGAGGAACCGTGGCAGACGCTCGCCTGCTGCAAGGAAATAGCCAGAGCTATGAAGTCAGGAGACCCAGAGAACTATGTGAGCCATTTTCCTGTCCACCAAGATGGATCATGCAATGGGCTGCAGCATTATGCTGCCTTGGGCAGGGACAGTGCAGGAGCAGAGAGTGTCAACCTCATACCAGCAGTCAGTCCTCAAGATGTCTACAGCTGCGTGGCAGCACTGGTGGGTTGAATTTGTGTGTCAGCAATTATATTGCTCCCTAGACGCTTCTGCCTCTGTGAAGAGACCAGAAAAATGCAAATATAGGGTTACAAAAATCCATTATGGACATTAACGCCACGTAGAGGTAAGTGGTTGGTCTTATAGCTACAGAGAGAGGGTCCTTCTGGTTCATAGTCCGTGGGCCCTGGAGTTGGTTTTGGCATAGTGGGAAGAGAAAGATTCCTGCCACAGTCGGGAACTGACTGGACTGTATCTGCTTATTGCGATGTCCTGGTTCATATGTTAATTTAACAATTCTTGGGGATGTCAGTTATTATTGATAAATGAATGTGATATGTCACAGGAGGAAAAAACTCAATACTGATAATGATTCTGAATATCAATATGAAAGGATCTTTGATATTGGGATATTACTGTGTTGTATTCCTCATGATTGAAAAGAAAGGGTTTGCGTATTAAGAGTTAGCATGGGGAGTGCGTCCAGTCTGTTTATTTATTTATTATTGACTGCAAATGGGTTTTTACCTGGTGGCAGTGTTGCATTGATTGGCTCTACAAATGGATGTCCTCTATCAGTCACTTCCTCCATTGTAATTCAGAATGGGCTACCAGGCTACGTGTAATTTATAAATAATCAGCACTGTGAAGTTGTGATGGAAACTTGACATTGTTATTTCTTTGTGTCCTCAGGTTGAGAAGGAAAGAATGAAGGATGCTGAAAGAGGTCTCAAAATAGCACAAGTTTTAGAAGGCTTCGTCCATAGAAAAGTGATCAAACAAACTGTGATGACAACTGTGTACGGAGTAACACGTTTTGGGGCTCGACATCAGATTGCTCGCCAGTTGAAGGGTGAATGTGATGATGAGTTTGGAGATTTATTGTTAGCTGTAGAGGCTAGCGATGGTGCTTTTACATTCTTTTGTAGCTGTTTTCAGCTAGTAACTCATTTATGTGTTGGTAGACTTGTGCCTGCGTACTTGCATTAGCCCGTTCACTCTGCACTCCTACCTGTAGATAAATCTGCTTTCCCAGCCACCATAATGTTTGTTTTAAGTTTTCTTTTGTTCCTTTTGAAATTGTCGAGATCATTTGTTTGTCCTGGTGCCTAATGTGTCAGTTCAAGAAATGACTGAACTACTAGCTTTAAAACTTTGTGCCCTGCAAGACAATTTCTAATATTACTGCTGGCTAGTGCAACAACCATAGAAGCAGGAAACTGTCTTTCACCACCACATTTTTTAAATTTCTGTTCCTCTTACAGATATAGAAGGCTTCCCTAAAGATTTTGTTTGGCAAGGATCAACATATCTTGTAGGAAAGACATTTGAAAGCTTGCAAGAAATGTTTACATCTACAAAGGAAATTCAGGTTTGTATTAATATTCAGCATTGTGTCGGACATTTTTTAGTTTCATTATAAGTATGATGCTTTTGAGACCATGCCACTATCTATATTTTATCTTTATGGTACCACAGCACAGGGGCAACTTCACAAGGGACATTTCACATGAACAGAATCATCATGTTTAAAATATTATATTAATCTGTTCTTTTGCATTTAAATAATGAATTCTTGCTACCAGGACTGGTTTACTGAATGTGCTCGACTGATTTCCCATGTGTGTGGGCAGAATGTAGAATGGGTCACACCTTTGGGCCTTCCAGTTGTTCAGCCATACAGCCGACCCAATAAGAAGCTCGAAGTTCATTCCAGTGCTAAGAGAATCAAGGAACATTATGCACTGGACATGTTTGAGTAAGTGACCTTAGCTCAGCACGGTAACAAGAAACAGTGGACTGATTCTTTATTTATTTAACAACCCATTAATAATATGTCCTGTTTTGTTTTCTTTTTTTAGCGTTTATTACCGTATGACTCGTGACATTTTCTCATTGGATATAGGAGTGAAGCCATCTTGCCTTACATAAATTTTGTATTTGTTTCAGACGGCCAAATGTGATGAAACAAAGAAATGCTTTCCCACCGAATTTTATTCATTCTTTGGACTCTAGTCATATGATGTTAACATCTTTATTCTGCGAAAGGGAAGGCATTACATTTATTTCGGTTCACGATTGCTTCTGGACTCACCCATGCACTGTAGATATCATGAACAAGGTACAATTTTCTTTTATGGGAACATCATGTCTGTGTATTTGTCCTTTACATAACTTTTGAATCTGTCAATAAATTAATATGCACTACGTACCATTGAATGCTGTCTCATCTTTATATTTGCCAATTTACTGCAATCAGTACAGCACGTACTTCTATAGTGGCCATATATTGAAAGTATTTGAGGGGAAGTTAACATATTTTAAGATTTTCTTACATCTTCTTGTTAAATAAATTATTTTAGTGAAACAACACTTTTGTGAGACGTCATTGATTTTCTCAATTTTAGGTTTGCAGGGATCAGTTTGTAGCACTTCATTCACAGCCTATTCTGGAAGATCTGTCCAAGTTTCTGGTGAAGAAATACAGCTATGCAGAAAGGTAGGACTTTAATTTTTCTGGTGTGTGCCCATGGACAGTTCAGTGATATATCTACAAAACTTGTGCCTTATAGTTAGAATCCTTCATTAACTTCAGTACACTTACTACATGTGTCTTCTATTTATTGTTACAGCGAATTTACCAATGATGGCTCCGTAAATGACATGACAAAACGAAAGCTGAACAAGATTCTGTGGAAGCTTCCATCTAAAGGAGACTTTAATCTTAATAGTGTCTTGAAATCTGTGTACTTTTTTAGTTGAATTTTATAGCCATGATCTTACTCATACTGTACTTAATACCTATCTTGAACTACTGGTAACAAAAAATTTTTGTTGCCTTTATAATTTGATAGTAATTTAGAAATATGTAAGTGTGAAATAGTTGTTTGTGGTGTTATTAAAGACCTTTATTAAATTTTTTTTCAGTTTTGAATCAAAGTATTAAATGAATAAGAATATATAGTAGCATCGGTTGGGATCAGTGGGTGTTGTTTATATGATCACCGGATTTGAAAGTGATCCCAGAGATTTTGCATTTCCTCCACACCAAATAATTATTCACTTTTTTTTGGAGAGTTTTGAACCCAGAGACTACCCAACAAATTGTCTTTTGCACGTTTAGTGCCTGTCCAGCTGCCGACGTCGGATTGAGGATTAGAAATTAGAATATTTACAGGATATAGATGGCAGGATATGCTTCGTTTACCTGTATCCATAATACGTGCTAAACTAATGTTCGTCGTGTTTATGGTTACAAAATGGCGTTCGTTTGGAGGCTAAAGCATCTTGTGCTGAAGTAGGAGTGCAGGTAAGCATAAATTGTATATATTTTCATGCCATGTTAATACTATAAGTTGTTCGTATACAAGCAAAAATGTCGGATGAAGAATTGTTAAGAATTTAAACTTTGGATTTGGTTTGAAACCTTTGGTAAGTATTGATTGATCAAATGCTTACCGACATTAGTTATTACACGGTCCATTCCTCTAATACATAGAATTCGCAGGGAAGTGTACATTGTATATGTTACGTACAGTGAGGTAGTGACATGTATAATATATTTCCGGAAGCTACTTTTATGGCATAAATAAACGCGTCAGTGCTTATGCCGAATTCCCTGTGACCAATACCTTTCGTATTCATGTATGTTGATTTATGTGTATGGAATTGACATATGACAAAGTTACTGCGCATCGGATGTTATTTATTTACGTTTTCTAGAGTGATATTTACGTAAGATTGGTTTTTATATGTTACTGCTATCTTGATAGTGCATTTAAGTGTAATGTGTATTCCTCGATTTATTATTGTACACGCCTGCAATTTGAATATTATTTTGTGTTAAAACTTTGATGAGTTATGAATTTGCACCTTTTTTTTCTTTCGTAATTTCCATGATGCCCTATTCTTAACGAAGGAGAATCGGGACTACCTCTTTGTTGTTTGAGGTAAGGGTATAAAGTTGCCAAAATGTTAACACATATTATGAAGGCGTGAAGGGTGGCACCTCAAGATCAAGAGCCTCAAGTGTTATTGATTGCAGAAAAAGTTTTTTTTTTTTCATGTATGAAATGCCCATTATTGTGTGTAATCCTCATAACACCCTTATTTGTCGATGTTACTGCAATTTTATTGGCAAAATGTATAGTAGCAGTAAAGTTACGCTGAATCTTTGTGAAAACCGTTTTTCGTATGCTTCTGATGTTATATTATGAACCTACTTGTTCTATGAGCCGATCATTTATCATTTCAGATTTTGCTTGAAATATGTTTCTACTAGGATTTCTTGCAATTCTGTTTTTACTTTTAAGTGTAGAAGACCAAGTAAAAGAGAGCTGGACAAATATGAAGTTTGTTACCACATCCAAGGAACTGTATTAAATGTAATAAAGGAAAGTTGGTGATACATCATTTGTTGCTGTGTCAGATATGTGACAGCCCTTTTTAAATCAATTTCAGTTGTATCTTGTAAAGATGTAACCCCCCCCCCCTCCCACACACACACTTCTAAAGTTTTCACTATACTTTTTGAGCTTTTTTCTTCTTCTCAAGGACATCTGAACATTACATGCTCACCTTGTGGCAGAGTATTAAAGATTTAATGCAGGAACTTTTTCTGTCTGTTAACATGTTCCCATTGCATTTTCTTGTAAGCATTCTGTTCATATGCTTCAAAAATGGGGTTTATATATACCCAAAGATATGATTTTATGAAAAAACACTGGAATGTTTATGTAGTTTGTTGCATTTTAATGTAAATTAAATTAAAAATAAAAGTAAGCTATACAAATTGACATCTAACATATTAAATTATTACATTCAGATTTATTGGAGAAGTGATTATTAAAGAAAGTTTATTTTTAAGTCTGTAAATACACATCTGCTAGAAAATAGTTATAAGTGCATAAAAACATTGTTCAAGACAAAGAGACATATGTAACCATTACTTTATTGTAAAAGAATTCAGCTAAATTGTGTTATAATACCCTTGATGGTCCCTTACAGTCTTTATAAAAGAAATTTATGTTGTAAATGGTGATTATCTCATAATTTATGGTTCTTGGGTATATGGGAGAACATTTTAATTTTGTAAGGTCTAAATCATATTTCAGGTTTGACTTCCTCTTACTAAGCTGTCCCATATTTAACCAATATTGAAGATTGCTGCGAAAACCTCAAATCTTAACCAGTATTGTTTGTAATTTCAATTATGATTTTAAATATCTCTACGTCCAAACATTGTTTTACAAGTGTGTCTGTAAACGACCCCCACATCTTCAATTTTGTTTCCAAAATTCTCAATCACCAGTTTGGCTTAGTTTTTATTTTGTTTTCAAAATTCTCAATCACCAGTTTGGCTTATTAAATTTTCTAAACATTTAAACTCCTGTATTTGTTCTGTGTGGTTGTTTTTGTTAACTAGCACAGTATTACATCTCACTGATGTTTTCCCTTTAAAGGCTACTGCATTTTGTTTTATTAAGAAGCATTTCCATGTCAGATTGTGTCATTATTAATTTAAGGAAAGTAATTATTTTTCTTTTGTAAATCATCCTCTGTTTCCACAGAGTATGTGTGATCATCTGCATACAATGTATTAGCCATTTCTTACCATAGTGATTCCATTTAATTTATATTTGTTCCATTATTTTGTTTACTGTGTACATTCTTTCTTGCATATGTCCTTTATTTGCTCTAGTGTCAGTTTTGGAATTATTTTATTCCAATTTTTTATATTGTCCTTGAAGCAGTCTAAAACTTGATTGGCGTGTTTTATAGGAGCATCATCTGTATTAGAATTTAATGTCCAACATCAGGGCAATAAATAAACTGTGCGGAAAAGAAACTGATATAGATGTGGGAGCAGGTCCGACAAGGCAGAAACTTGACTAAGCCAAGTGATGGTCGGTTTGTGGCATCTGCCTTGAGGGGAGAATGGAGATTAATGATGCTGGAGAACGGGGTGCAAAGGAGAATATTTAGATGTAAGAGGGAAGTAACAGAATGCTAGGAATAAATTTCATAAGGAGCAGCTCGATAGTTTGTGCCGTTCACCTTAGTAGAATGATCAGTCATAGGGTATGGGATAGACAGGGCTTGTAGCATGCATGGGAGAACGAGATGTTCATATTGCATGGAGCTAGTTCTTTTGATCTGCAATGTGAACAGGAATTTGGAGATAGTAATCTGAACTCTTGAGGGGTAATTTCCAAAAAGCGAAGACCGTGTCTTGGGATAGTTAGATACACTGTATCAGAATGTGAGGTTTCGTAGCATTCAGGGGGCGGAGCAGACATTGTTAGCCAGTAATAATAATAATAATAATAATTTATTTACATTCCATGGATCCATAAGACAGTCAGATGACAATAGGATGTGGAAAAATAATAATACAATACATATTATAAAGTACAATTCATACTATTATATAAATTTCACATAATACAAAACAAAGTATTCACCTAAAGAAATGATAAGCTACAAATAGATCTACCCATTACACACAAGAAAAATTTATCACTTATTTGTAAACATTATAAATTCATTGACAGAGTAAAATGAGTGTGTAATTAAGTATCTTTTTAATGCTACCTTAAATTGCTCCTTCTTATTTACAAGACTTGTGAGATTTGATGGTAGACTGTTGAAAATTTTGATTCCTGCATAATATGCACTCTTCTGAAAGCATGAGAGGTTGGCATTGGAACTGGCAAATGATGCATTTTGTGTGGTTGGTAATGCTATATTCAAGTGTGTGGTGCGCTGCTGAACGAAGAAAGTAGGAAATTTAATTTTTCAGAGTGTTGGCTGTATGTACTAACATGGTTGACAGTTGTGCATCACCTGAGTGTTAGAAGACAACTTTGTAAAACCTCTGTCAGTCTGTAACTGCATGTCAGAAATATTAATTGTGCATGAATAATCCAAAATATGGATACAATTTCATGCAGTTTTTTTTTATGTGTGACTACTTACATTTCTGTTTAATAGAGACAATTTGTGGGGTTATGAGCAAACCTGATAGCTCTAGTGGATTCAGTTAAGAGAGATCATAGTGTCTCAGTTACTTGGAGGCTATATGTCCTGATTGAGACTTTGTCCAAATACTCAGTTCTACCGCTAAAACAAATGTTGTGATAGTGCCTTAAGTCACTATTGCTACTGAATTAAACATTCATAAATATCCTGTGCCATTTATCTGTATATAACCAGTGCAGTTCATAATGTATCAGATAAACCAAGAAACAGATGCTTTTTATGGAGAATGCATGTTATAAAACTGGCATAATATTTTCTATTGCCACCCAAACACTGTAAAGTGAGGAGGACAGATGTTGGTCATTCTTGTGGATATGTTCTTGAAAGTGCTTTTTACAAGAAGGTTATGATAGTTGAATTATTTTTATTTGGTGTTATATTGTTGTTAGTGTGGGAAAAGCGTAAATGAAAGTAGTGCAGCGAAGTATTGACATGGTCTTTACTGTGTTTTATACTTGATTTATTTGGTGAGCATGAAAATGCTGAAGTCTGAAAATTACATTCATCACTTCAAGCTAAATGTGCATACGTCTTCCTTGGTAAGTTCTATGTCATCTACTCTAGTCTCACCATTTTCAGTATATTTGTAAATATGTAGAAACATTTTTTAAAGGCTCTTGCCTGTTCTATACAAGATTTTGTTACATAATGCATAAAAGCCAAGTGCTTCAGTTATCTTAGTTGATGGAATATATTTAATAAGATTTTAAGCTTTCACGGTGACCGAATGCAATGAAGTCTTCCGAGGTGATCGGCTGTTTAAGTGTGCGGTTGAAGACTCTCTGTCTCTGAAACACTGGATTGTAATTTTATGCTTACGCAGCGGACCACCCGAGAGCATTTCATTTGTGAAAGTACTGTATTTTTTTCCTTCATCTTTTCACGTTTTTTATAGGTATTCACCTTTTTATTATCAATGTATGAACCCTATACAGTTGTGCTTGTTGAAGTTTTCCCATAAACATGGGCTGTGAATGAACTTCGTGCCAACATTATGGCAGGGTTCCAAAAGACAAAGTGCATGTTTTTTTAAGAAAATAAATTATTAAATGTTTGTCTAACATAAAACAAATTATTAATATCATATCAATGTTTTAATTGAATATCTTAACTGTTATGGATTTTTTATTTATGAAACTAGTTATAAGAAGTATACTTTTAAAGGTACATATCAGATGTAAGCTTCAGAATTATGTGATGGGTTGATTTAACTTTGCATAAATCATGTTTATGACGCCACGGTGGTCTAGCGGTTAGAACGCTGGCCTTGTAATCCTGGGGTCTCGGGTTCGATTCCCGGCGGTGCCCGAATTTATAACTTGTGTTGGGCAAGGCCGTGGTCTAGGCAACACGGAGTTTTCCTCCGTGGCATCCCAACAATTACTCCATTCACACACAGAAGAAGGCAATGGCAAACCACTTCTGGATCATCTGCCAAGAACGTATATGAACAGGTCCCAGTCCGAGAAAAGGATGTTCATATGGGCCTGTCGTCAGACAGAACACTAAATTGAATAAAATATAAATCATGTTTATTATTTTCATCATGTGCTCTAGATTTGTTCAGCATTGGTTCTTTGATTATTTTTCTCAAAGAAAAAGAAACTGGATCATGTGTGCCAAATTTCATTGCTACAAGTCAATATAAAACAGTATTGTCTACTGCCTGGAATAGATGAGAAATGCATACAAAATTTTAGTTGAAATACTGGAAGGAGAGAGACTTTGTGGCAGAGACCTGGACACAGGATAATATCAAAGAACTTGGGACTCAAAGTGGGGTTCAGAGACAGGGCGTTTTGAACGTTTGCGTTCCATAAACACCAGAAAATTCTTGATTGCCTGGGCATTTTTTTCTTTCTTGAGAAGGAACCTGCTGCTTGGATTCAGTTATTTTCTGTGTTGTCTAGTGTTCCAGCGTCATGTTGCAACCGTGTAACCAACTCCCTGGTAGCAGAACCCACAGGTCCAACTCAATTTGAGCCCTTCCTGATTCCCTCTGACTTTCCTGAGGACATGTTCTAGGGCAGTTTCAACAGTACAACACATTGTATTTCAGAAATTATTTCAAGGCAGAAGGTGACATAATAAGGAAGATAAGTCTTGGATGGAATGTCAGTATTCATTATTCAATTTATTTTTGAGGGGAGCACGCAGCAGAAGGTGTGAGAAAGTTCAGTTATTTTGTAAGTGTGATACAGTTGTTGATACTGTTTACCAAATTTTGTTTTGTATTAATTATTAATTCTGCCACAATGAAATAAATGTACAGATACAAATGTTTTAATGGTGATTTGCAAGTTGTTTTGGCAGTGCAACACAAGTAGAATTTACTTGTGTTTCTTTTTCAGGGAAGAGAAACCTTCAGTGGTTCCTGTGATAAAAAAAATATTTTGCTTATTTACAGTTTGAACAAGAAGATATCTTTCACAAGTGACGTGACCGTGTGTTGCGGGAAATGGAAGGTTACTCAAACATTAGTGTTAATCACGAAGACTTTGATGATTTAGACATTGAAGGAAGAATAACTTTGGATGAATGGAATTGTGAAGATAAAAGTCGCCAGACAAAGGTAGAGTACGAAAAAAATGGAAGATCAAGCAGGAAAGTATGATCATTTGTACGTAATGTAATGTTTTGTTAAAAACTTGATATTGGATATATAAGTTATTTAGATGAGAGCTTGGAAGTGGGGGCATTCATGAAAATTAAATATTGTAGCGCAGATAAAAGTGGGTATTAAGTATATGCCTAGTTTTTAGTGTGTGGAAAGGTAGTGCAAGCTGTATGCGCTAAAATGTAAGAATATACATTGTGTAAAGAAACATTATATCTCTGTATTCTGAAATGAAATTTGTTAATTTTTATGCATCAGAATGGCATATTAAGCCAATATTTTACAATTTCAAGGTGAGAGAATTTGTTGTTTAAATCTGGTTTTAATTTGTAAATGCTGATAGTGTTATATCTTGAATCTCTTCAAACACAAATTTTTGTGCATTTCATTTTTTCCTGTGTTACTTTTCCCATGTTGTCATTTTGTGAGGATGGTAAGGTGCCACAGACCCTCTGTCAGATGATTCTGGATTCAGTCTCGATGGAGATTTTAATGCGCATTTGTTGAAGCCGTTTGCCTCTGCAAGGAATTTTGAAATGTTGACGCTGCTATGTTTCTATTGAGGTTCGGAGCCGATGTTAAGCTGCGGCCTGTATGCTGGCAATTGTTCTTATCGTGCATGCTTTGGGAATAATGGGATCTTCATCATGGATGCTTCAACTTCACAGATGGATTTCTTCATTTCACCAGATGTACAGATGTCATGAAGATCAGATGAAGTGATTTGTCATGAAGAAACATTATCATAATTAGTGGAGAGGCATTTGGTTCTTGCCAAATTATAGGTCTTAGATTATGATTGTGGTTGTATGATTTGTGACACTGTATAGTCTTTTAGGTGGTTACGTACATTTTGGAGGAATCTTCAGGATTGAAGATGGAGGAGTCAGAATACAGAAGACAGTAATTAACATCTTCACTTCTGTGAGAACCCCAAATTTCATGTCCGATTAGCATGTAGTTCCCCCCCCCCTCCCCCGGTTAGTACAAAAGAATCATTCATAAGAATGATTTGCCCATTATACGTCTGTTCTGTTAAAATCAACAAGTGACTGAGTAACATCAAGTACGCTGTAGAGACCTAGTGACTTCCATAAGGTGTGTTATGAGAAATAGAATATACCTTGATTATTCCGTGCTAAACGTGTGGACTAGCTTTCTTCTCAAAGGAACTAACGTGTTTGGTGACAGTCTTATTATTGTTATGTCATTTATATTTACCATTGTTAAACTGTCGTTTGTAACTGAGTTCGCTAGTTTCCATCTGCTGTATTGAAATTAGTACTTGTCTTATTATTGTTCTGTCATTTATATTTACCATTGTTTAACTGTCGTTTGTAACTGAGTTTGCTAGTTTTCATCTGCTGTATTGAAATTAGTACTTTTCTGTTGTATAAGTCTGTAATTCTTTTCTGCTTTAAGATACACGTGAGTGTCATATCTACTGTTTTAGCTCTCAGAAAATTACCATTAAAATTAGATCCATTCATGTCCGCATGTCCGTTTTCATCTGAAAATTGTGAATGACAGAGGAGTATTTCATAGCATGAAACACATTGTGTTCTGTTGTTTTAAATATCTAGGTTTAATTAAACAAATTTAAGTCTTCCAAAATGGTAGGAAGTCATCGTCAGACATGTTTTTTTTTTTAATTGGTCGCTCTGTGGATATATATTTCAAAGTTACTTGTTGTGAACACAGTAATGAAACTTTATAATCCATAAAGCTTTAATGAAACTAGTGGTAGAAACACTTTTATGTTTTGTGTTAATTTTTCATGTTTGTGCGCATTTACCATCATACATTGATATTGTGTAAGTAATTAATGTAAATAATATTGTAAAACTTTACAGTGTTAAAAATTGTATGTTTGCGTACATGGATATTCAATTCCTTAATACAGGCATATTTATTTTTCTGTATCTTTAATATCACTTTAGTTGTAGAACAGGTGGAAAATGTCTCCTGTGTCAGAGAGTATTTGTATTTTGTACTTGCTTGTTTTTATGACAGTGGGTGAACAAATCAAAGACAGTGAGATGGGTGGTGTATGTTGCATGCATGAGCAAATTGAAGAAGAATGTGCAAATAATATTGGAATATAAGATAAGTAGGGGATAAGTTTGTAGGTTGTCACCTGAATTCATCTGGCTTAGGATAAGGTCAGTAATGAGCTGCTGTGAAAACAGTCGTGAACATTTTGGTTTCAAAAAAAGAATTAATTTTTATGCCAGCTCGACGACTTAAATCTTACGACTGTTACGGAGTTCATTGCATAATTTTTATGTCTTATACAACAAATTTCTTTTTTGTCTTGTATTAAACTCGATAATGTCCGTTATTATGTAAGCACAATTATTGACCAGAACAGTGTAACCAAGTGTTGAGTTGGAAAATTTTCTGCAAAGTATTCAAAAGAAAGTAACTTAATGCTACATACGTACTCGTTTGTATGTTTGCGGTTCAGTGATTAAAAATGTGCTGTTTAAGCTCACATGGGACAAGCTGTGTTATTAGGTAGAGAACTTTGGAGTGAATAAGTCTTACATATATTTTGATCTGAAATATTAAAAATAAATTTATTCAGACAATAACGAGAGAAATGTTTTATTTTCGGAGCCTTCATTCTATATTTTTTCAAGGTCTTGAGAAGGTTCATAACTATCTGCTCACCACATATTTCTCCATGATTATCAGAGGCTAAAAGATTCATTACTGTGTCCACAAAAGCCCACCACTGGGCCCTGTCTGAGCCAGATGATGTAGACTACAACTTTACGTTCTTATTTATTGTTATTCTGTCTACACTTCATGCATTGAGTTACTGATGGCAGTTGCTAATGTCATTGAAGGCACAGTGAGAGATAACCTTGTCTGTAGTATATTGTCATTACAGGTTGGTATTGTGTGAGAAGACAAAAGTACGTTAAGAAAAGCATAATCTTCAAGTTACATGAAGAAGTCTGTAATTTGAATTTTTACTACTGTATATTAGTTCTGATACTAATATTTATAGCATTTTCACTGCAGATTGTACTGGAGTGTTGACTTGTGCTATAAATATTTGAACACTGTTCTTAAGGGTCTTCTGTGGGTGCATACTTTACCGGTCGATGTAGTCGGGAAGTGATGTGTGCGATTTTATAGTTTATAAGTGCATAAATAATGTAGTTTTATGTAAGAAAGATAAATTTATGTTTTGTGTTGTTATACGTGTTTATGACGAAGATTTTCATGATGTGTAGTTTGTGGACGCTTCTGTAAAGCTGTGACATATCGCTTGTATCTGATATTGCAGGAGGAAACTTCAAGCGAATGTGAGGAGAAGCGTTTGCTGTCTGTCAAGGTGAAATTGGATGAAGGGGGCTTTGGTTATGTGTTCTCTGTCAGAACAACAGATCTTTCTGTTCGTTGGAGGTGTCACTTGTGCGATGTTCTCATTATTGGGCAGAAACATGTGGTCACGCACATCCAAAGTAAAAAACATCAGGTCAAGATGGCACTTCCATCACATCCCACGTACATGTTCACCAGGCTAGAGAGCAAGCCGTTAGGTGAGTCCCCGTCTTCTCTGATAATACAAGTGTTGCGGTATCCACAGTATGTGTGTTTTAATAAGGATTCTCATTTCCAGGGCGCCAGAAATCAACCAACTTACCCAAATCTCAGAATATGATTAGTGTAAATGCGTTTATACTTGTTAATAATTTTTGATAACTTTTCCACCAAGAGTCTTCATGGATGTATATTTGACCACTTGTGTCCTTATATTCATAGACACAGGACATGTTCCTGTTTTGTTGTAAGCCACCTTTTTATTTTGATGAGGCACTTGCTGTTTGTTGGTTAACGTTTTCAGCTGCGATAGTCCATTTTTTTGTTTTTGTTTTGTGAAGAATATTGTGGTTCATTTTGCTGTGCTATTGAAGAAACAATTGTTACAGTCTGTGGTTGTGTGGCTGGTATACCAGCAAATAACAAAAGCCATTTTGATTGAATAATCAACAGAAGTTCTGACGTTTAAAAAATGCTTGTACTTTATTGTGCATCCATCAACACTGTATCCATTTTAATGATATATTCTTGATTGTTAAAGGTGCTGTTTGATGATTATAAAGAAGTAGTGTTAGTGAACAAGCTTTGCACGCACGCATTTGCTTTATCTTTCAGTCGAGATGCCGAAACTTGCACCAGGCGAACCGGTTCCACCGGGATTTGAAGATGTTGTGAAACGTGTAACACAGATTCAAGCTACTTTGGACAACCATAAAAGTTCACCACTCATAGGTTTGTAATTCTGTACCGTTCTTTTGTAGGAAATATTCACTCAGATTGCTTTTGAGCGGACAACACACGAATTAATGGCACAGAGTTTGTGGTGGACATATGTTGTGACGCTAGGGCTGCACACATGGAACGTTTGTGATAAAATGTGGAATGCGTTCCTTGTTGGTGGCATTTGATTAGTTACTACTTGTAATTTAGCTTTTGAGATGCAAACATTTGTAAATGGTCGAGTCTCTTCAGAACGCTACATTCACAGCTGAATTTTTTGTTCCCGAGTTTTAACAAAAGAAAATAATTTGCGATTAAGGAATTAATTATTATGATTAATTGATTACTCATGACACCTGTTTTATATATCAGCAGAATATTTTGTATAAGTGTGAGGAATGTCTTGTGTCTTCAGGGCTGGAATATCTCGTAGAATTGGTACCTGACGAGAGGGGCAAGGAGCCTACGTACGTTTGCATGTTATGTGACAAGAAGGGAGACCCTCGTGTTGCGATGGCGCATATCAAGAGTTACAACCATCGCTCTAAATATATTGTAAGCCTTCTGTTAAGTTACTTTAATGTATGCAGCTGTGCTGGTGAATTGTAATTAAAGTAATGTAAAAATAAGATGTAATTAAATTTGGTGAAAGGTTGATATAAAGTTGTATTATATCCTTCAGGGAATTCACTTTCCAACAGCCAATAAAGAAGTGTGCAAAGCATTTCCAAGATCTAAAGAAGGCAGAAGAGGAATTGCAGAAATTATAACAAGAATTTGCGGCAAAATTGAGGAGAAGCACGGGCGTCTCCAGCCTCTGATAGTTGAAAGGGAGACTTTTGAGGCTAAGAAGGACCAGATCATGAAACAGATACAAGATGATCGCCATTTCAAGTAAGAATATGTTCATATCTGTTGGGACGTGCTGTATTATGACATTGAGTGAATGTTCATGAATGAGCTGTGGTAAATATTGTTTTGAAGTATTGAAAAAGAGGGAAAAGCCTGCTTTTAGGCACAGATTATGTTCAAAACCATTAAAATTAATTTATGTCCTTCCAGGGAAACGCCAGATGAGACCTACATTGAAATGGTGGATGTGAGTGTATTAGAAACATTGTCTGCGACTCCAAATGGTATGTAGCCTTTAATAATCGCCTCTCTATTGCGTACTTTACCAGCCTTTATTTCTCTTACTGCCTTACTACAACTGTGATTGAACAGGGTTTCAAAAAAATTGTGATATACTCCGGTTTAGGCTTTGTGACTTTGGTGAAAATTTAAAAGAGGATGACGACTGTGCGGAATGTATATATATTTTTGATTAAAATAAAAATTATGAGCAAGATTCACCTGACTGTTTTTTTTTGTCAGGAAAGGGTTTTTTTTTTTTGTTATTACTTTTGTAATAGTTTGCATATAAAACAATTGGAAGGCCTCAAGAGAAGAAGTCATTTGGGAGACCACAGTGTAGATGGGAATATAATATTAACGTGGGTTTCAATTTTTCTTTTAGCCACAGATTTACCACTGATGATGAAGGAAGAAAATGTTGCTCCAGAATCAAAAAGGTAAGCTTAAAAAAAAAACCCATAAAGTTGCGTGAAACAATAATTTGTAATATTTTTATTTTCATTTCTTTGTTTTGGCTTGTGAATTACAAAGTCTGCCCAGATGGTTATAATGAATTTTCTGGAATGTATCTTTGGTCCTCGTAATGGTCTTACCTGCCAGAGAGAGCGCAGTATGCTAGACAGCAGTTTGTAAGTGTGTCAGAGGCAATACCTAAAATGTTATGTACATGATACTTGAATAATAAAGGTACAGAATACACAACATTTTTTGTCTTATTTGAAATAGAAGTCTCGTCCGAGTGCCGGAAGAAGAGTTATGATGTATTTATCATTTGATTTTTTGTTTGTTCTTAGTCAGAATTGTTTGTTTCGACACATGTTGACATAATTGACGTGGCATGCTCCTATAGTCGTGTGTCAATATTCTGTGTTTGATCATGTTACCTCGATCTGTATGCCACCAGGTGTTTTGCTGTGTTGGTTTAGATACATAACTTAACCCTTATGCTGTACTTTAGTTCTTCAATGCTTTGCTAAAATGTAATTTTAAGGCACAAGTCAGTAAAAATGACAAAAAATTATGATCAGACCAAATACTCGATGTTATTTCTGTGGTCTGTTTAGTGACACTGTTAGTGTCTTTTATGATGATCAATGAATCATTAATTAGAAAGGCTGTATAAATACTAGCAATCTTCTCAAAATCAGTGTGTACTGTGGCAATGTGATTTTCATATCCGGTTAAATGTGTCAGTATGCTGTATGATTCAAGTGGTTGTCACGTGGGCAGCGAGCGCTAGGGACCCGGTTTTGTGCGAATATCTTAAAATGATGCTTTTTCGGGAACTCGGAAAATAAATTGTTTAATGTAATTAGATAAATCGCACAGTTTACATCTGAGATATATATTTATTGTGTTCTCATTTTCAGCCAATTTGTTAAAGGTAAAATATCTTGTGACCGAAGCAGACTGAGAAATCGTGATGCTGACGATAATGTAGCGGAAGAAATTAAATCTGAGAAGACTGAAATTGAGGACAAAGAATTCAAAGGGCCATGTAAGTGAAGATTATTAAAAGTATCAGATTGAGCTAGGGTGATGAGTGCAGCCTTTAACAGGACTTCAGTTGTAGAATTCAACTGATATTCTTGCTTTTATTTGGTGTGTAGGGGCACTATAACAGAGTAGTAGCATGTGACACCATAATCAGTGATAGATGATGAGACTTTGCTCACGCTGGCCATCATTATGTTAACATGTATGGATCTTGAGGGGGCTTGACAGTAAGTCTGTTAGACACTGGAGAGCAGTTCCAGACGTGGCAGGATTGCTGGAGAGATTGTGCGTTTGCAAGAAGTCGTCTTCAGAGGAGATAAATCTGATAGTGTGTTATTAATTCAGTGGTATAAGTGTGTATAAGCCGTCATATTTCCGTAGTCTTTAGAATTTTACAGATATTTTAGTGCTGTGTGAACTTCCTTGTTTGTGAGATGTATTTTGATATTTTTGCTTTCAGGTTGTAAGAAATTGAAACAGCAGTCTGCTGATTCAAGCAGAAAATCTTTGTCATCTGTATCAAGTTTGTCAAGTTCAAGTTTGTCAAGGTCTCGCTCAAGGTCTCGTTCAAAATCCAGATCGAGATCGAGATCTAGATCCTATTCGAGGTCTCGCTATGTTCGCCACGGTTGGAGGGATGGAAGATATGGGAGGGGTCATAGATCTCACTCAAGAAGATCTCGCTCTGGATCTCGTGGCTGGCGACGTTCAAGATCAAAATCTCGTTCACGGAGATCACGTTCCTTCAGTCCTTCTTCAAGATATGGAAGGAGATTGTCCCCTGATGGTAGTCCTGGGAGAGGTCGTTATTACTATCGCCATTCACGCTCGCCAAAGTATGGTCGTTCCCGTGACGGTCAAAGTGATGAGAGATATGGCAGACATCGAGACAGATCTTCCAGATTACACCCTCTTGAATCTGAGAGAACAAAATGGGTGAAATTCCGTGTAGATGTAGATAAAATGGAATCTGAATTGGTTAAGGAACTGAAGTTCCATGAAAAGAATCCAGAGAAGCATCCTATGTATCCTGAGGAGTGGAAGAAGTTTTGGAATCGAAGATACAAGGAACTGCAAGCAGATGGTAAAGATCCCAGTAAGCATGACTTTAAACCAGAATGGATTGATTTTTGGAACAAAAGAATAAAGGAGATGTACGAAGAAGAATTTAAGGCGAAGAAAGAGGAACTTAGGCTTAAGCTTGGTTTACCCAAGGAAGAGGAAATACAGCCATCACGGACGGTGCGAAAAAAGAGACCCGGGCAGGACGTGGACATTATAGTTCTTTCTCCTCCGCCTGGTAATGAAGATGATGTTTTTAGGAAAGATGTAACAGTGACTGACATAAAGAACACATGGAAAGCTTTGACTGGGGCTGAAATAAAGGATACGGCCAAACGTTCTCCAAGCCCATGGGAGGATGCAGAAAATTCTTCAAGGTATTCGAAAGGCTCGCCACCTAATAAGAGGGTTCAAAGAGGAGGGCTAGTTTCTCGAGGAAGAGGCCGAGGTAGGATATATGGGCGTATCTTCTATAATTTAGACGATCAGGATGGGCCAGGAGTGGTAACAGTTCTGCGTCTGCTGACAGCAATGGAAAGTCAGCTGGGTTCACTAGGACCACGTGTCAACTCATTATTAGCTACTGCTTTATCTTTGGAGAAGGCTAGTCCTAACTCATCCAGTGCCCTATTGGCTGATTCTGAAAACTTTGTTCTTTTAGAAACTGTGAAAGAAAAACTGAAAGGTCAACTTTTTGCAGGTATTGTGGAGAGAAACATGGTGATGGCCACCAAGTCTTGCATTCAGAATTTAGCTGAGTTACTGGCTAGAGCAGAGGATAGTAATAGTAATTCTAAAATCACCCTGAATTCTGCAGCGGCAGTGGCACCAATCAGAGAGCCATTGCCATCAATGGTGCCACCAAAACAATCTCCCGCAGTAGCTCCTGTTACTGTTCCTGGTGTTGGTACCATGGATAAGGTTGCTATAGCACAGCAGATAGCTGCAGCTCTCGTGGCGCAGGGAAAGACGGACGTGACACAAGAAGAACTCGAACGACTCATCAGCGCTGTTGTCGGAATGGCCAAGGCTTCAACTGGCTCTGAACATCCCGTGTCTACAGTTTCGTTTGTCTCTCACATGAAGGTGCAGCAACAAGGCTCAGGTAGCCACGTCACAGCAAATGCTTTTGTAGAGAACTCTGCTCTTCAGAAACTACTTTCAGTTGTCACTTCTGGCTCCGTTAGTTCTTCTGCCCCAGTAGGAGTGAATAGTAGTGCCAGATTAAATGACCCATCAGTTAACGCGCTTGAAATGTTACAGTCGGCATATAATGAACCTAAAATATCCCCACACGTTGATGTAGCTCCTGCACAGTATGTGAATAGGTCGGATAATATGGAAGGTTTGAGTGAACAAGATTTGCGTACCCTTTTGCAGAACTTCAAGGATCTGTCATCAGAAGAGCAGCAAGGTCTCATAACATACCTAAAGGAATTGGAAACAAAGGATCCTGAAAGAGTTGAAAAGCTCAGGAAATTTGTGAACCTTGACGGACCTGTCATACAAAACTCGTGTCAGAATAGTAAAAGCAGCTTTAAAGCCAGTGAAACACTTAACGTCAGACCTGATGAGCAGTTAGGACGGCTGTCACCTTTCTCATTGCGGAAAGGAGGAATCAATCCATCTCAAGAACTAGGTACCTCAAAAATTTATGTTGAAGATAGAAAGAAGTTGGACGATTCTGACGATGATTATAGTTTTGAAGACATCTATGCTGCGGCTTCCCAGAATGTTAAAGAGAGAGAAAAAGCAGAGGAAGAGAAGAGAAGGCAGTTGTCTGACAGTGTTAAGATGAAGGAAGAGAAAAATTCTGTAGTAAATAAGAAGAGTGACGATCCAACTGTAATACTGAAGGAAACAAAAGAAATGATTGCCAACTTGATGGGCCAACTTCCAGCCAAGTTTATTCAGAAACAGAATACATCTCCGGGCACAAGGAAAGACAGTCCTGCTGTGCTGGGGCCCCATACACACGCGATTGCAAATATGCAGGAAACATTTCGTGAGCCAGTGAAGCCTGCTTTGCCTGATTCAGAAGCAGGTCATAAGATTCAAGCTTTAGGAAGCGAAACAGCTAAAATGACGAGACCAGTGCAAGCGGTGCCCACATTGGATTTTTCTCGGCGTGTGTATCAGAATTATGGGAAAAGAGATTCGTCGTACAGTAGCCAGTATGGGGGGCAACAGGCTTATCCAGCCAGCACACAAAATTTTGCTGGAAATACTAGTCAGTCATTCCCAGGACAGCAGTCGGGCTATTCCGACACCGGCTATAGTCAGAACAGTGGGTATTACGACAGCAGCGCGCAACAGCAGTACCCTCAGCATGACTACAGCGCAGCGTACCCACAACAGGCGCCTAATTCTGGTGGGTGGAACAGTTACCCAGACCAATATGGGCAGCAGTCATATCAGACACAACCCGTTTCGGCACCATACAATCAGTACCCCAGTCAGCCCCCAAGTTACTATTAGCTGTCAGTTTTATATCGCTATTTATCCTGTAGGTTACAAGAGCAAGATGTTGGCACAGCAGTGCTTTTGACTTTTCTGTGGTTTAACGTAATTCCCACAAATATATTTGTTTGGAAATAAATATGTATCATTTCCTGAATTTTTCTTCTTTCTTGTGTTTGCAAAGTTGAGCACTGAATTTGAAAATCATCATCATGCAAAAATGTATTCTTGTCTCACTTGTTTAGGAAGACAAGTGACATGTTTTATATTTATATATATATGTATTTATATAAAACATGGCCTACATAAACTGATAACATACAATTTTTGTATGTTTTTTTTTTCTCATCACCTGTGTTAACATTTAAGTAGTCGAAGGGGAACATTGTTCCTATTTATAATGTATATAATTTTTTTTTGCATCAGTCAACGTACGTTGAACTACGCGTGTTAATATTTAGTTCTTGTCAGACTTGAGGATTTTGGTATTAGAGGCTGGTGAGATGGGCCATTACTTGTGCAGGTATTTCTTTTTATCTTAAAGAATTTGTCATCGCTCGATATTACAGTGTTCTGTAGAATTTGAGTATATTATTGTATTGAGTGTAGTATTGATACAGTATGAATATAAACACTTGTCTTGTTTTTGTGGAAACCTGAAGATGTGATAAAAATTTCGAGTTGTGGTAGTGTTTTTTAAGTGCATTCTTACAGCCTTTCCTTTCTCCTGCCCTTGTCCTTGATTTTTGGTGAATGTTTTTTTTTTTCTCCTATGTTATGTTTGATTGCTTTATTGAACCATAAACTTTTTCATGAAAGATGAAAGCCTTGGAAGTTTTTGGGCAACCAAACAGAAAATTAGCTGCTTTCTCTTCTGCCACTTTAATTTCTGTGCAGAAAACACTTTCTGTGAATAAACAGAATTAAGGATGTTTCCTCAATTCCCAAAAGTGCAACACACTTTGATTACTGAACACAAAGAATCCATTTTGCAGTGTCAGAACTATTGTCTAATTAACATTGTGTCCGCTAGGTAGCTGAAAGTGATGTTTGCAAAATGAGAAATGGTAAGCTTTTGATGGTCGGATTAGCGCATTCTTTCTTATTTCAGATCTTCAAGATTTGTGTATTTTGTTATAAAAATTACAATGTGTGTTGTGTGTTACAAAAGTTTAAATAAACTGTGTCTTACATTTGCATATGTTGGTAATCCTTGTCGAGTAAGTACGCGTTTGGTGGAATGTTTGATTTCTTCTGTCGACTGTAACTCTTTTATTTCACCAAGCTTGTTATGCTGATAACACTAGACATTTGTTTGGGAAGTTCCTGGTTTTAATCTTGGCCAGGGCATCAGCTGCTGTCTTGTAAATGCTAAGATATTGGCTTGAAATAAGCCATTATTGCGTCCTTCCAAACTGTTCTTGATTTGTAAGTTTTTAAGGTGTTCTTAAAAATCTATCTGGTACCAGATATATTTGTCTGATGAATTTTGTATTCTGCAGTCTGAAACAAGGTGATTATATACCACCATATGCTTTTTATATTTGCTTAGAATACACCATTAGGACTCTCCAAAGAACAAAGACGGACTGGAATTTAATGCGACACATCTTTTAACCTCTGATGGTAATTTATTGTGCAAAAACATAAAATCGCTGATGCTGTAGTAGGCGCTACCAAGGAAGTGGTTGAAAATACAGTCATTGTGCAAAAACATAAAATCGCCGATGCTGTACTAGGCACTACCAAGGAAGTGGTTGAAAATACAGTAAGTGAAGTGTTTTTTTTCATACAGTGCTAGAGCACATGATAAAATCATGTATAAAGATAGCTGATCCTTTGAAACTGTGGTTCAAATATATGGGAATAATGATTACAAATAAATTAATTGGAGAACAGGTTCAGGGAATGCTTGCTATCGTGCAGTTCAGAATCTTTTACATACCTGTTTGAAAAATATAAAGATTAAGATGTTCAAAACTGTGAATTGAATGCATGTGGCCGAGGATAAGGACTAATGACGCTTATGAACAAGGTAATGAACCGTCAGATAAAATAAAACAAAATTTCTTGACTAGCCGAGCAAATTTGTAACTTCTCAAGAAGGTCCCTGGTCTATGGAGTTTGTTAAATTAATATCAGTAGTATCATCCATGTATCCCAGTGAATTCAAATAATTCCAGATTTTCTTGCGTGCAAGCATAGAAAAACTGCGGGATAAAAATTCTCTGCTGTAGTGTACAAGTGAAGATGTGGGACTCGGTGTAGGAAAACAGGATTTCGGATACAGGACAATACATGAGTAACACTATACTTGTATTGTCATATAAAACTATACGATACAGAGAATCATATAATTAAAATCTGTTTTCTTTTAATCTTACAATCTATTTTAATTAATATATAAAAGATCAGTACTTAATACAAACAATAACATTTCTTGATTTGCAGGTATTGCATTTTCCTTGAAAATTCCCAAGGAAATTTAGTTCAATGCTAGAAACAATCCCAAATTAATCAATTCTTTTATGGTCTGAATAACAGACCTACAGATATTCCCCTCCACTGCAAGAAATATTAGAAACATGGTTAAAATTTTGTTACTATAGACTAATCACATAAACTGACGACACATTTAGAAGCCATTAAGTAATTTAGTAAGAGACCACAACATTTGACGTAATAATTGTCCTACCCCCTTTCTATAGTGCAGATACTGTGGTTTAGTGAATTAAGCTACTGTCATATTTGTACATACGGTTGTTTCCTATTAATAGTTTGGTTACTTTGACAACCGTAAGCATATAGATTTTAAAAAGTGGAACTAGACAACACACAATTTTTAACCTGATACCAGCATACTGTTAAATCAGCACCACCGAGTCCACCTGGCGGCCCCATAGTACGGGGGTTTAAATATACTTTAATATGTATCATACATTGTAATTTCTGCAAATAGAGTTGTTAGGGCAGACTGCAAAAATTTGCGCTTTGGGATAAAAGGAGCTCAGAGGCGCTTAGTAGTGCTGGCGTATCAGTATTGGACTTCTCTCCGAATCACGTGTAACCACAATTTGAATTCTTAGAGTCAGTATTATTTTTCTTGCATTGCACTGCATATATACACTGGGATTACAGTAAAACTTGTTTTACTTTCCCATGTGCGTCTTATAGTTCTATTTATTTGTATTAATACATACAGCATAGTTGTGTCACGTTACTTAGACACAGTCAAACTATGTGCTTTTACAGTCCACTAGTAAGCTTTGACATTTTTTTTTTTGTAGATTGTGCACATGAAACATTTTTAATATTATACTTTATCATTCAGTTCCAGCTGACATTCAATGCAGCTGAATGATTCAGCAGCATTATAGCTTAGTGCAACTTTGTTGATGGTTTTCTGGGTTCCGACACCATGTAGGTGGGTACCAGTGTTTTAGAGGAACACACCGCCTTCAGGGCTGAAGTCCACATGGCATTACAACCCAAAAGACCAACTTTGACATCTTCACTTCCATGACAAACTCAACTCTTACAACTGTGTTCCAGCGTCAGTCCGAGGAACACGTAATCATCATTCTACGACACACAACGTTGAATTACAGAATATTTAAAACACAGATGCCACTTGTGTCTTTCCTTAACGTAGTGCATGTGCGTGTCGCTTTGAGCGTTCATTGCATAACGTGCTCCGTAATGAAACGGAACATTGTGGGCAAGTGTTGGTGCCGACGGTTACATAAATCTATAGAAAATATTTTAAAAAATTCACACAACTTACACTAATGCATACATACAAACATTTAAACTACACTTCCTTAAGTACCGTGTATGTTTATTTAAACACTGCGTTGTACAAAGTATTAAAGAAAAAAATCTGGTCATCAAAATGATGAATCCTGTGTAAAATTATTGGCACAACTGCATACAAATATCAGTACACAAGACGTAACGTTACATGAAACAAACCAAAGATGAAGCATATTGTCGGGAAAAAAAAATTTCAAGACTCGTTAACATTTGTACAAGTTATGAGATACAAAGAGTTAGTTCCGTATTCTAAAATATTTTGTTTTGCGACTAAGATGACCTTGAATCTTACTTCTAAGCTACCCATGAAGAAAGGCTTCCATTTGTTGAATTGTTTTCTCAAAGGCCATCTCAATTCATCTGTTTTAATGAAAATTACGTGATAAGTGGTACCTTAACCTCCATTTCAGTTTTGAGTTTAGTTTTGCATAGAAAGTATTTTTCTTTTAAGCAGGAGGTCCAAATTTTATCAGAATTCAAGTAAATACACTGACTACTGTTTCTAAGAAAACACTTCGTAAAAAGTTCTGGGTGTTAACTGTGTACGCAGATAGTAGTTTTATTGCCAGTGAGTGACCCAGGCAGGGTCTGGTATTTTTCTCTTTATTTTTTGCTTGAAAATGCAAATTTTTTTAGTAATAGTCAAAAGTTTAACGGGGAGTTGGAAATGATCGCAATGTATCAAGACGCACAACTGTGAAGTGTCGCTAACATTCATGGAAGAAACTGGGAATAAGAGATAAGAAAAGAAATTGATGCGGCCAGAGAGAAGTTGAAATTAAATGAAGGAAGTCCTCTAGTGCTGTGTGATGAGATGTGGCTGACCTGTCATCTGCCACAGATTGACAGAGTCAAAGTGTGACGGCACAGTAAGAAGAGCATCATCCGTTGTGCGATCTGCCGAACAGTTCTGTAATAAACGTTCAGGACATTAAACTAATGAACAAAACCTAAATTTAAGTACCAAAATTTTCATATCACCAAAGTTTTGACGTTCTCCTCTTTACCGTCACATCTTACGCAAACATCCCGGCAAAACGGGTGGCACTACATATTTCGGAGGTAAATGAACTCTTGTATCAGCATCTTTGTGTGATAATTCTCATGTGGTCTAGAAATGTTAACAAGAGCTTGCCACTGGATCTAGTCTTGGTCCAGCTTAACTAGGTCTCCCATCCATCTCTCATATCCCCCCTCCCCATCGACCATGACCATCGTGACCCCAAGTCTCCCATATGTGCTAAATGTCCCATCCATCTCTCATATCCCCATCGACCATGACCATCGTGACCCCTTTTAGGGTTTTTTTTTTCGAAAGTGCCACGGTGGTTCCGCCTTGCCTTCCGTGGCGTATTCCTTTTATCATAAGTATAAATTATAAATATCCTGCTTATATTTTCCCATCCTCCTGTAAGGCCTTTTGTTTTCTATGTTGAAGAGAAGTTACTTCTCGTCATTTTACTGTACTTAGATGTCGTCTGGGTTCTATCACCATGCAATCAGGTAGAAGTTTACTCGTACAACTCGTCGTCCTAACGAAGGAGGCAGCAGAGACCTCTGAAACGTTGGTAAACTTCTACCAGACTCTATGACGCTACAACCGAGGAGACTGCCACCACTGGGAGAACCTTAATTCCTACTCTCTTCAAGTTATTTCCAACCTGTACCTTTGGCTGCTTCCTGTACGTGTCGACGCAGTCTACGTTCAATTTGGTGCACTCCATGTGGCAGTTGTAGCCCTCTATTGTTATCTTGATGAGAGTATGTAGGGGCACATTGATATAAGGTAGTTCATCTGAAAAGAACAATGTTTATTAGGAACGTAAAACGATCTGTGATACCGGCACAAAACCGATCTGTTGTACAGAAGATGCTTACCAGGTTTCTTGTTCAGGAAGTATCCCAAAATACAGCGGAGGACAGCCTGGTGACTGACGACGAGCACGTTATCGTCGTGCTCAAGTTCCAAAATAACAGGATCTAATCGAGCCATGATATCGACATATGACTCGCCCCAGGGATATCGGTAACGAAGCTTATCTTGGTCTCGCCAAGCAAATTCTTGGGGATACTTTTCTTGCATTTCTTCGTATGTCAGGCCTTCGCAGACACCCTGCAATACGTTTATTTTGAACTGTAACCGTATTATCATTAAATATACGGGAGCAAATATGTGACTGCAATGGATACCACAAAAGAGTCATTCACACCCTGTATTCTGTGGATCTAAGAGCATGGAAAGAAAGACTCTTCATTTGAATACAAATTTTCTTGGATATTATCCATCGTCTAGTAAATATAAAACGTAAAACGACGTTTCGGAGATGGGACTCTATCTCCGTCTTCAGGTTCCTACACAGTTGGGCCCACTAGATAGAGCTAATCCCTATTGTAGTACGTGCATTTACTTACAGCATGAAGCTCGTTAAGAGACGCAATATGCTCTGCAGGAGCGTGAATGCCTTCGGCCGTCTGCTTGGTGCGGCACAGTTCGCTCGTCCAAACCTTCAGTCCTTCAATCTTGTCCTCGTTTATGTGCCGAGCCAATGACTTTGCGTATTTTCTCCCACGTGGCGAAAGATTTGTGTCACCGCCAATTCGGCCCAACACGTTGTTTTCACTCTCACCATGCTACGTGAACAACACAGAATTTTATATACCTATTGCCCAGTGACCCCAAGAGCTACTGGTAGGGCCTCCCTAGCCAGATTGGTCGAGGGGGAGAGGTCAGACTAAGACAGGTACCCTTGTCCTCCAGGTTGGGGGTTGGTCGCAAGGCTAACAACCTTGCACCGTAAAAAGGAAGACGTTTCGAAACCTCGATCAAAGCCTCGGACAGACGGAGCTATCAGAGGACCGAATGGAAGAGGAAAATTGAGGTGGCCATGGACCGAATGCGGACCGGAGAGCCATAAAAGAAGATTGCCCATTTTGATACTAAAAAATACATATGTAGGTGTGTAAGTACTTGGGAAGGCTTACATTTGGATGCTTTGCAATTGTATTACAAATGCATAAAAATTACACAGAATTTTATGCACACAAGGGAATTTACTCACTCAAGGTCATTTATGGCCGCACAATATCCACGTGCTTTATGCCGAGCAAATGTGATGAATGAATTAATAAAATCAGATAAGAGTTCACTCCCATTCTCACAATACACAGCAAGTAATTAAATTAAGTTAAGGTCAGTTAAAGGAAGGGGGCAAATTTATAAATGCCGTACATACCCGAGAAAAATATAAAGTCTTTGATGCAGGTTTGAAGTTTGAGAGAAAAGCCAAAATACGGCCCTCCAACTGGCCCGTCACACGGCGAACCGACACGTTTTCACCTAAAACCAAACGTGACGGAGTCAGCAGTCTAATCAAATAACTGTGCGCTCATTTGTTTTGTGATTATTAAACAAAACACACCTTCATTCATGATCTTGATGTATTGAAGATTGGGCTCTTGCTTAGGGTTGATGGGCTCGTACTGTTCTAAGTAATGCTGGATTTTGTGGTGAAAATCATCCAGTGCTTTCTCCTCGGCCATGTCCTTGTAGTCTGGGCTGTTCTGCAGAACCTCCTGCAATGAGCATACCTTTAAGAAAATAGCTGTAAAATTTGTTATAATTTTCATGTAATAATTTCTCTTTTAGAAATCATAGTAAGCGTCAAAGTGAATGTCTTCAGAACGCGTGCTTTTACATCATGTATACAATAAATTTATAGCAAAATAGGTCAGTGCGTTGACAAGCTTGCCTTGATATTTCTGGACAAGATGTCGTCATCGTCGCAGATGCTTTCAATAAAGAGAAGCTTGCAGCCAAATTTTGCACAGTAATCATAAACATTTTCTCGTTGAGATCTGGTCGCATTTGTACCATCCAAAACCTGAAACAGTAAAATACAGTCGTCCATATGAACGCTATTGAGCCAGAATAGCGACTAGCTACGGGCTGGACGACCGGGGTTCGATCTCCGACAGGGGCAGAGGATTTTTCCTCTAACCTCTGCGTCCAGACCGGCTCTGGGGCCCACCCAGCCTCCTGTCCAATGGGTACCGGGAACCTTTCCCAGGGGTAAAGCCGGCGGGGCGTGATGCTGACCACTCACCCCCATCTAGTGCCGACGTCAAGAAAGAGAGGAGCTATACCTCCACTCCCCCCCAAGCGCCTACATGGCGTATAGTGGGACAAACTTTATATGAAGGGTCTAATTTCTTTTAATGCTGAAATACACTGATTAGTGAGCAAACTAAACAAATCCTAAAAGATTTAAAAATATCTAAAATGTTACTTATTATTTAAGATGAAGAATAACCTAAGATTATTTTTCTTTTAATTTGAGTTATCTTTGAAAGAATTAGAAACCTGATACGAAAATCAATTCATGTGAAACAATTCTAAAAACTCTGTAGCGTAAGTCTACTCACTGCGACATTTCCTTCTTCCTTAAGCCATAGCGCCGCATCCTCTATAGCAGCCACCGAGCTCTTCTTACGTATTTCCATTGCCTCACGATTGTCTGCCCTAAACAGATCATGGCTGTCGTACTGTTCCACGAGCTTCCTCCGATACTCGCTAACGGTGAATACTGAAATAAAGGTGTTACGCTTGTCACAGACAATGCAGGATGCATAGAAGTCCCCCGGTAACTCATGGCATTTGTGTTTTTGGGGCGTACGGTGCTACTTTCTGGTACCCTGGTCTGTGGCACTGCGTAACCCAACCCAGTGTCTTTCTTAGTCAATCCGAGCTTGAGTTTTCTAAAATGTTGGCGAGGGCCGCGCTCTTTGCAGGAGACATGTCTGAAGCATTGGGATTGCGGCTCTTAATTGGACAAATGACACATAGAAATCTATACAATGGGCAAGTTTTTGTTGATCATTTGGTATTAAGGTCTTTTGGGACAATACTTAGTACGCGTGTTTACTATTTTCTATTTATCATCTATTTTACGTCCAGTGAAAGATTCAGTCGGGGGATTGAACCCGAGTATTCTTCATGTAGTCTCACTAGAACATATCCTCGTGTAGATTTGTGGTAACACGCACGTGCAGAAAGAAGCGATCTCGATGTCATCAAAGATGAAATTTGTCGGTCGTGCTCATTTAGTAACAGCACTGTGGAGAATAAAATCTCACTTGGTTTTATGCGACAAATCTCTTATTTTATTACAAAGACCGTTCTTTGGTCTCCCGCACGTTAAATCTTGTTCAAAAGTAATGTACTGGAAGCTACGCTAAACCTGTGAGCAATGTAATCTTTAGCAAACCTTTAGCCACTTCTCCTGTCCAGTTCAAATATCGGGCCAGTTTGTGGGCCGTAACCGTTTTTCCTCTGGCTGGAATACCCACAAAGGCCACCATTAAGGGCCCAAATTGTTTGTGATTTGAACCTGGGGAAAAGAAAAGAAAATTAAAATAAGAGCATTAGTGACATGTAATCAGTTACAGAACTGGTTAGAAGCGTAGACTTGACCAGATCTATGAATCAACTTCATGTCAGTAGACCCGAGACTGAATATTTATCTGAATTACAGTTATGCTGTTATTCACGTACACAAGTCTGACATATTTGGAGAACAAGTTTTCTAATACCTGGAAAATCTTCCAAATATTTGCATGTATTTTTTTATTTAAAAAATTAAATTAAATTATTGCTATTTTAAAAAACCAACACACCTCAAAATGAAATACGTACATTTTTATATTTAAATTGTCAACTTGCATAAGTAAGATGTAGGCCGTGAACTGACCAGTAGAAAGAGGGAATCAATCTCGAATACTGTCATTACATAATGGAACTGGTTATATATCAGTAGTTCAAATACTGGATTGCAGGTGCCACAGTAGGTATTGAGTGTATAAGTTTGATTCCACACTTTTTTTAGAAATGATACCTCTCTGATACATTTAAATATGGTCCTGTGTACTGCGAATTCGTAATTAGATAGAGTATTTTCCAGGATGTCATTCGAGTGTGCCGTAAACAGAATATGTTTTGAGTAACCTGATTTGTTATTGGTATTGGTAATGGCAGTGGCTTAGTTGAAACGCCACGTTCAATTTACGTATAAGATCAAAATAACGGTGGTCAGATTTTGTCGGCTGGTGAAGAGCTGACTTAGATCCGAGGTTTTCACGGAGGTTCAGGACGATGGGTTACGGCGCCGTGTAGACTCAGGTTTCGTAACAGTATCGAGTCGAATGAACAGTGAAATGATAATGTATCAAAAGCAACAGTTTCACAAAATGACCAGTGACTCACAGCCTTTTCAGATTCAAGTTCCATTATTTATACTCTACTTAATGACGCTGTCGAAAGCTCGGACACTACAGAGCGTCGAATGATGGGTCAATCATTGAATTAAGACTGTGAAAGGATAAGGAAGGAAGCAATCATGGCTTAACTTGGGGGTTCTATAGCTGGAATTTCCTGTCTTTGGGCAGGGATTTCAATGCGCGTGACCTCCCGACCGCGAAGAAAACACTACCCTCCACCATTACAAAGATCAGCTGGTTAACGCTGTTTAAAGAAATAATCGCTGTTTACAGTGAGAATCACGCGAAACTCATAGATACAGTGCGTAGGCATCTAAATAACATTTAAAGATTCAGTCGTACCGCGAAGAAAACACCACGCCTCACCATTACAAAGATCAACTGGTTAACGCTGTTTAAGGAAGTAATCGTTGCATTTGTTTCCTGAGCACAATACGAAAAACACAAATACTTTGTGTGTGTGTGTGTGTGGGGGGGGTGTATAAGAAGGGTTAGTAACTCTTGATGCTGGTGATACATGCAGGAAATACTTTGCCTTAAAGCGGTAAACAAATGTTTTATGCACTGACGAAGCAGCCGGAGCTGTTCATCATCACCTTTTAACGTTAGCACAAAAATAGCTCTGCGTTTCTAGTGCCAGATTTGTGTTGGAACACGGCCACTGAGCACAAAGGTACGAACTGTGAGCTGGTTTAACTTTTGTGGCAATAGTGTTCCAAACCGATTTTTAGCTTTAATTTGTATGACACACACATACGATGGTAACGTAAAATTTCACTGTGTAGGATTTGAGGTTTCCGCGGCGGTGAGTCTGTAGATGGCTGTCTTCGGGGTTGCTGCCCCGTGTAGTCTGGTAGAAGTTCACCAACGTTTCGTCGCCCTGATGATGGAGAAAGCCATGGACCTCGGTAAACTTCTACCAGACTACACGGCACAACGACCCACAAGACAGCCATCTTAAAAATGCACTCCCATCTCAACGGAATGCCCTAAAATAAAAGTGACGAGTGATGAATACGCACAGAAACAAAACAAACTCTCCCTTTACATCCTGAGCCATTGTTGCGTTTCAAAGTTTAACTTGGAAGTAATCTTGCAATTGGCACCATGCAAACATCACGCAAAGAGTTCTGTGAAAAAATTGCACCCAAGTTCTACATTTTACAGATTATGCCACTACATGAAACTGAAAAAGCTAACGGGGAGGGGGGTCCAGTAGTTTCTGATTGCCTATTACGTCGTCATTCCGTCTCGTCCAGCTTGCTGCTGCTAAGAGATTACCGATTAATGCAAAAACGATCTATGGCCACCGTAGTTTTCAGACTAGGCAACCAGCCATGTACTGTTCTACCCTTTGATGTCCAGCGGTAACTATCTGTACCACCTGCTTTACATTTCGTATTTATGTGCTTTGTATGGTTGTCAGTGTTAACAGCTATTACGTCCCTAACCTGCAATGTCCGGTTGATCTCTGCGATTGTAAAGTGTTGATTTCTCTTTGTGGCACTTAAAGGTGCTACATTCATATTGAGAAGGTTCTGGATTCGACTCTCGTCACCAGTACTAGCCCTAGTTTAAAAACTGAGCTTTTACCGACGAGTATGATGTGATGGCAAAGATTTTGTCGTGGTTCTGGGTTAAACTTTCAACACGACCGACTATCGTCATGGAAGTTCCGCTTACCCTGCTTGTTGGACAATTTGAGTCGTTCCTTCACCAAGATGTCATCACAGTCCTTTGTGTTGTCGTCGCAGATGCCTCTGATTGTTGGTGCCATTTTGGTGTCGGCCTCTCGTTCCTGACAGGAATGTCCGTCTCCGTGGAACCAACGCAGGAAACACCAGTTTTTTACAGCGAGATAATTCCTGTTGTTCACACAGGCCGTTATCTTCAGGTACAAATGACCAGTCAGACCCGGGCAAGAGAATTGCGAAAAAGATGATAAAAATGCCAAGAAGCCTCCGAACAAAATAAATTTTCGCAAAGAAACAATGGAACTCCACGTAACATAAGAGAGAGCCTTCAGGTACCAAAACACTGGCATTCCAACCCAATTTATTTAATAATATGTGGGGCGGGGTAGGGCGACCAACACACCGTAGAAGGAGGAGGATATGGGCAAATCAAGGTACCATACCATGCCACCCTATACTAAATGTCTTCCACCAGTTCAGAAAAGTGATCTGAAGATGTGTGTCGTATTGATAGTTGAAGATCAGCCCTCATTCCAACGCGGGATTTGATTTTCGGTACCGGGGCCAGTGTTACTGACGAGGTTGACAAAAAGAAGTTCTGCTCGTGTGGAGCCGTTTCCTGATGTGGATCGCGACCTGATTACACTAGAAATCACTCCACCATCGCCTCACAACTTCTCGTTATTGTTCACTAGGCAACTTTACACCAAATGTTAATGTTCACACAACAAACCTTCTTCGCAATGAAACAAATTAGTTATGTAGCTCAGTTCTTTGGCAACAGACAATGGCGAATTAGCGGAGAAGTTGCTTTAGGACTTCAAGGACTCGGTATTCACAGCAACCAAGCATCTGCCACTTACTCAAGATCATTATCTCAGAATATAAACAGAACAAAGAAAAACCTATCACTTCTCAGCGACCCAATCGACAGAAAGTTTCTTCGGTAACTGTTAACAAACGCTGCGGAACGTAAGGTATTTATCTCAGATCGATTCAGGACGCTAGCGACGCCAGAGCTGTCTGGTGACTGCTTGTGAATGTACGCAGGGCCATCGCGCAGGACTCGCCGATGAGAAATGCAGCGTTGCCAGTTCCCTGCAGACATTTCACATTTTGAAAGACAAACAATTGACGTAATTGTTGACTGTCATCAGAGGCTAAAATTAGTGTGACATACATGTGCTTGTAGTTTCACATGCTTTCGGACTGTTCTGCACAAACCGCATTTTCGCCAGTGTTCTTTTCATAACGATGTTTGTTTAATGAAATTCAAATTTATTCCAGAAATTCAACAATGTTTGATTTATTCAAATACACAAGAGTAGGGATGATAAAGAATGCCTAATACTATTTGAAAAGTGAAATCTTACCGTCTATTACGATAAGCATATTTATTGTACATTCTGTGGTTTAGGTTAGTCACGTTTTTAAGAACAAATGTGATATTTTTTAAAAATAAATTAATTAAAATGAATGTGTGGAGATTTCACTCATTTCAGTTAAGATTTTCCCGTATCGTATTTTAACATTTCGATTGTTGCACGTGATATTTTTAACGATATTGTTCTTGTCGGTCGTGAAACCGTGTAAACTCGTACGTGGATATACACACACACGGCGTCGCAACCATCATATTGACCGCCGTGGTAACCTAGGTCACAAACAATGCATTTTTTCGATTCGAGATTATAACGGATATCGACTATCGAGAAACAATCGATACACAGAGAAGTTCTCTAACCTTCATCGTCTTATCTGTCCGACCTTTCACGAGCTGTATAAACGATGTCAAAAGTTAACGTAGGAAACAGTCAACATTTTAAATGTGCTGTGTTGGACTTGCTTAAGGCAAACTCCATACATCACAGATCATCTCGAGAATCGAATAATTGTTCATCTAGTGAAAGGAATTGTCCGTCTTTTATGGAAACCTGAGGTTTATTGCCGTGTTCACAAGATCCCGCCACTGGACGACGTTATCAGCCAGTTGAATCCAGTCCACTATCACCCTAGTACTGTAAGATCTCTTAAAATATTTTCCTCCCGTCTCTGCACAGACGAGCCACATTATTTCTTCACTTTTTATGTTTCGACATAAATTTTGTTTATTTATTTATTTATTTAGTGTTCTGTCTGACGACAGGTCCATATGAACAGGATCCTTCCATCCTTTTCTCGGACTGGGACCTGTTCATATACGTTCTTGGCAGATGATCCAAAAGTGGTTTGCCATTGCCTTCTTCTATGTGTGAATGGAGTAATTGTTGGGATGCAACGGAGGAAAACTCCGTGTTGCCTAAACCACGGCCTTGCCCAACACAAGTTAAAAATTCGGGCACCGCCGGGAATCGAACCCGAGACCCCAGGATTACAAGGACAAAGGATAAATTATCTTAAAGTGAAAGTAATTCTGTCTGTATGTGCGTGTGATATGAATCAGGGATAAATAACAGGTTTCGTGGGGTGAATGCGTGGTGTGCTTTTGTTTAGGACTGGACGGTAGCAAGTCTGTGGGGGTGTTATGAAGGGGGGGTGTGTGCATGAATAGATTGCAATGAAATCGCGGTTTGCGTCAGGTGCTCCCTGGGTGAAAAATGAGCTAGTGTCGAGCAGAATAAGAAGTGGAAAGAGGCAAGGGCAACATTGTCTTCTTCGTAACCATCATAAATTCTGTTGCCTTCAGTAATTCATTAATTATGTATGAATCTTCGAACCATAAGAACAGCGGTGAAGGTTTTACGATGATGAATCTCGGCATAGAGGAGTCAGACAAGAAAATGAAGAACCAAAGAATAAGTACAGTCATTCCTGATTAAAAGTAAAGCAAATTGTATTTTACGGGGTTTGAGGCATTCAGGAACTGAACGGAACTAATTTATAGTCAGATAAATTTGAGGTTAAAATGTACGTTTAGTCTGTTCTGTTTATCAGATATCATGCTGATAAAATGGAGGAGGTGTTGTGGACTTGTGTGATACTATGCACGGTTGGAAATGAGAAATACATACAAAATTTTTTTTTAAGTTGGGAATTTTTAGGTTTTCGGTTCGTCTTAGATCGTAAACTTACAACAAACGAAATTATGCAAATAAATTCGTCTCCTAACCCTTCTGCTGGTCTGTGGGTAAACGTGAAAAAGATTTAAATGAAAGCAGACGTCAAATGTTGCTCGCTGAATGTTCTCCTCACTTTCTGCTTTCATTTGTTTAACGTGAACAAATTTCGTGATTTTAAAATCGTCTCAGCTCTAAATACCAGCTTGAAGTTTGCGCAAAGGATGCTGGTACCACTTTGCATGCACAGATTCAGTCCCTGAATATTTATTCATTTATAGTTTATTTCAGGTCGCCTTTTCAGTACTTTAGACCAGTGGTATTCAACCTGGGGTACGCGTACCCCCGGGGGTACGTGACATTTAAAAAAATATATATTATTTTACGATAAACACTGAATAATCAGTAATGTAATTTATTTAATTTATTTTAGATGTAGATTATATACTATGTATAACTTGAATTATACACCAACAAATTTGGGGGTACAAAGTTGAAGAGAAATTATATCTGGGGGTACGCGAACAAAAAAGGAAAAGATATGGAAAGAAATGGTCGTGGCTTGATTTAAGGTACCATCCCGAAGATTTCCTGGAGGGACTGAGGAAAACCACGCCTCCCAGTCAGGATATTCGAGGTTTGAATCCGGGACCTACCGAATATGAAGTAGGTTTGTTAAGCACACGACCGCGAGAGAACACGGAATCCGTGTTGCCCCGTTTTCCAGCTTTAAAATTAGATTTACAGCTAAATGTCGCGCACGCTAGCCTATGTGTCGGGGTGTCCTCGTCAACTGAACCGAAGATGTCACTACTCTTCCATCTTGTGAGTTTGTATTGGCTTTGATTTCATAACTCGACTCATTGTTGACAGTACAGTACAGTCTTTTATCTTTCGTGTCTCCAATCACGACCTGCGGTCGCCCCTAGTTCACGAAACTAATCTTTTGGTTCATACCAGGAGAACTTAGTATGGAAAAATTGAATCCGTCTGGCAACGCTGCCCTCCACCTAGGTATAGCCGATCTAGGTCACACAAACACGCACTGCTGTTGACCGAACAGCAACGCGCAGCGGTATTCTGGTTGTGTTTGGGTTCACTGTTCCAGCACAAACCGATCAACGGTTGTAGTCGCCATGATGGTTTGCGGTACAGCTGCACTGTCCTGTCTGCAGAAAATGTAAAAAAATGAAATCTGTGGCCCGAATATCGACACGTAATTTCTTGTCACACTTATAAACAATTCGCAAAGACGTATTATTAACTTATCAGTACCATCGCTTACATTAGTTTCTTTGTTTCCAGGGCCTTTTACCGTTGTAATTAGGTTGTGCCACTATTGTTGGCAGAGCCATCTACCGTCAGATGCTTTCTGCTGTGTTGATTTGCGATTAGCCATTGTTGGGAAATTTAATCAATCCAGTTTGTGTTTGTGAATCTTATTTTGTAGCTTCGCTTAGAAAAGTGGCAGAGTTTCGGAACACTGTAGACGCTTTCTTATGATTGTACCGAATAATTCGGTGTGTCGAGGCATGGATTTTTGTGGCATAACTGCTTGTAGTTAAGAATAACTCTCTGCCATCGCCGTACTAAACAGAGATTGTTTATAAAGTCGCTCTTTTCATGTTCTTGAACTCAGATATTTTATCTTTGTGAGCAGTCTGTTTGGAGTAGAGATAACTTGGTAGTGGTTACTAAGTGTTGAATTAGAAATTGTTTGGACAAGATATGGAAAGTTATTTACGTACGTCTGAATGCAATAAGTAACTTTAATGTTCCACGTCGTTCCTATGACACGACAGTTACTCGCACGGCGTCGGAATCCAAGTTTTAATACGGATTTTATTCTAAATGGGTCTAGATCCCATTGTGTCAAAAACAAACGACAGGAAGTTTGATTGTTTGACTCGCTCGCAACGTAGTTCGCTCTTGTGGGGAGTCCCCTTAGTCCGGCAAATCGGCAGGCACTTGTCACGATCTAGGGCTGACCGAGGTCACCCAAGGGCAACCGAGGGGGACTGACTTTCAACAGGCCACCCGAAGGCTGTCCGTGAAAAGATACAACGAGTGGTCTGACCACTCGACTACCCTGATCGAGGTTTACGTAGCTTTTTCTCTGTTGTAAGGCAAATGCCAGGGTATAATTCAAGAAGGGTTACAATGCACTCTTACCATTTACAGCAACACGTTTCGTACGCGGGAATGGTGTAACCCAGAGCACTTCGTTATAAAATTACCCCTGTTTGTAACAAAGTAGATAAATCTACATTATGATTCGCATATTATTAATTTATTTAGTGTTCTGTCTGACGACAGGTCCATATGAACAGGATCCTTCCATCCTTTTCTCGGACTGGGACCTGTGCATATACGTTCTTGGCAGATGATCCAGAAGTGGTTTGCCATTGCCTTCTTCTGTGTGTGAATGGAGTAATTGTTGGGATGCCACGGAGGAAAACTCCGTGTTGCCTAGACCACGGCCTTGCCCAACACAAGTTATAAATTCGGGCACCGCCGGGAATCGAACCCGAGACCCCCAGGATTACAAAGCCAGCGTTCTAACCGCTAGACCACCGTGGCTTGTTATGATTCTCATATTAAACTATAATTGTTTGTCTTCAAAAGCTTCAACCAAGTGATTGTTATCGTGGAGACGTGTCGTGTTTTGTTTGAGGTTAGGACTGAACTGTTAACTATTATTTAGATGAACTTCGGGCTTCAGAATACAAAGTCCCATTAAATAAGGAAGTGGAATAGGTTTATTTCCTCCTTCCTGTTTAATTTTAACAACAGGAAGTGAATTATCTTACGACAAATAGTCAACCTATGCGCGCGCCGACGTCTTTAAATCTTGTCAGAGAGCGAACTGTAACCTACGAATTGCATTACCCAGAAACGTTCCTTCCTGAACGTGGCTGTCTCATTCTCGGATAAAAGAAAGGTTAAAAGTTGCCGAATG